TATATCTGTTGCCTACTATGGGACAGATTTCCGTTCTTTAGAAGGAAGGATCTCAAGCAGTGTGGACACTTCTCACTTGGTGGAGTAATGCTATTTAGCACTGTGAACTTAGGTAACAAAATGGCTAAGGAGTGCACATGGAGCTGGGAACAGCATGGCTGAATGCAGGAAAAAGCATGACTGTCCACCTGTGCGCACTGGCCTTGTTTCAGTGGCAGCACTGGAGACTGGTCTTCAAAATGAAGTGTGCATCCAGGAGCCCAGCAAGAGTCCAGGCTTTCTGCTTCCAGCGATTTGCAGTGAGACAAGCAGCATGGAAGGGACCAGCAGCACTTCTGTAGTGGGACAAGTAGCATGAATTGGATTTACCTGAAAAGCAGAGGGGAGTTGTAGTAGCAGTACCCACTCTCCAGTGTTTCGTTTGTTCCATCCTCACTGCCATGTGCCTGGGAAACAACTCTTTCCCTACATGTGCCCACTGCAGCAGTTGCCACCAGCAAAGAGGGAGGCTGCTGCAATACATGATTTATGGTGAATTTGGACTTATTATTGCATGGCATTGAAGCACAAAGACTCCACAGCACCTTGTGCAGAGACTTCTGTGTGATGAATGGGCTGAGAAAGGCCAGGCAAATGGTATTATTATAACACTACATAAATATGTTTATTTTCATTTACTATTTAAACACACCTGATTTCCTTTAACATTGTAAACATGTCACTTTATTAGAACTGGGAGACTTGATGAATTTAAAGTCATTTTCAGTGAACAAGTGGCAGCCTTGCTGCTTTTTAGATGGAGGTGAAGGAAAGAAACCTTTATCATGAAGACATATTAAGAACAGCATAAAAAGGACAGCAGAAAGCTGTTGCCCACTCTGAAGTTTCTTATAAAAAGGGAAGAGCCACCCAGGTGATATTAGTGGAAAACTATTAGAAAATAGAGGAAAGACAGGATATAATCTCCTTGAAACAGTTGGCATAGTCTCTATGTTTAGTAGCTAATAAATTTAGCTTTCAGGAAGAAATACAAACAAGCTGCATTTACTAGTTTTTAAGAATGAAAATGAATGCATTAATTATGTGCAATGTTACCATCTGCAATTTTGGCCAAGGACTAGAAATTTCTTCCCAGACTTGAAGCTTAAACCCAAGGCTTTTCAACCATAAATTTACTGCCCTGTAAAAGGACAGATACATGCCTAACCAAGTGCCTCATTACTGTCAGAGGAATGATGTGTTGTTTCATTTTACTGTTGTGTTTTTCTGGTTATTAGAGTGAAGGTTGAGTCAGCCTTTCAATTATAAGTAAACTTCTTTTAAGGAACTGCAGTTTAACCCAAGAAGAAAACTCACAGAGAACATTTAGGTAAGGTGAAAAAATTAAAATACTGGCAAGAGTTTGGATACCCTTTGGGCTCAGCAGTTCTTCACTTCTTGAGGGCCCAAATTAGGTGCTGTTTCTTTTCCTCTGTGAATAGATTCCTCCCACCTAGGATACCTGTTCCACTGAGAACCAACTTAGTTTAAGCAGGATATAAAAGACAACTCAGAGAGAATCAGTGAAGCACTGGGTGCTGCACCCCTTGCTCCCTTGGGGCTAAACCCTGAGGTGATGCTGCCCAGGTCACTGCCCTCTTCCCACTGGGATGGTGGCAGGTAATGTGAGAGGCCAGATGAGGGGGCGAGTGCCCACCTTGAGAAGGGACATGTGCAGATTTGGCTCTTCCCCTGTCAACTGGCCCTGGGGGTCAGGTGGCCACACTGAATCTCTTTTGGCCACCAGGCAGTTCCATGATGAATATGACTGTTCCTCATCAAGACTATTCAGAGCTGCAATAAATTCCTCATTTTTGCTCCAACTGAGTAACAGGAGAAGTTGGGTTTTGCTAAATATCTTACCTTCATCAGTTGCCACGTGTCAGTGGTCTGTGGTGATTACTGAGAATAGGATTGCATTCCATAAATCAATGTGCATATGCTGTTTGAGTGGAGCAGCACCCCACACTTGGCTCCATTTTCCCCCCTCCTTGCTTTGTTTTGCTTTTGAGTGATCATGAGGCACAGATGTCATGTAAGGGTTTCTGGTTTGCATGAGCTGCAGAAGTGTAACACATGCTCCAGTCATGGCTTATACCAAAAAAACAAATCAAAGTAAAAGCTTTCTAAGAGCAAGGTCAGTGCAGAAGGAGGAGGAGGAGGTGCTCGAGGTGCTTCACCAGACCATGGTGAAGCAGCTGTGCCCCTGCATCCCATGGAGGACCATCAGGGTGCAGAGACCCACCTGCAGTCCATGGAGCAGGTGGATGCATGAAGGAGGCTGTGACCCCGTGGGAGGCCCAAGATGGAGCAGTGTCCTGCCGGAGACCTGCGGCCTGTGGAGAGGGAAGCCCACACAGGAGCAGGTTTTTCCCTGGTAGGACTTGTGGCCCCTGTGGGGGACCCATGTCAGTACAGCTCATTCATGAAGCACTGCACTCCATGGAGGAGTGACCCACGGGACAGGAGTTTGGGAAGAACTGCTGCCCGGGGGATGGACTCAAGCTGGAGAGGTCCATCAAGGACTGTCTCCCATGGGAGCAGGGGAAGGACTCCTCTCCCTGAGCAGTGGCAGAAACAACAACTGACCGTAACCCCCATTTCCCATCCTCCTGCACCACTGCGGGGGAGGAGGGAGAACATGGAAGAAAGGAGGGGTGGGGGGAAGGCTGTTTTATTTCTCACTCTTTGGCTCTTATCCTGTTAGTAATAAATATAAGTACTATCCCCTCTTTGAGTCTTGTTTTGCCTGTGAAGGCAATCAGTCACTGACCTCTCCCAGTTCTTATCTCTACTCATGAATTCTTAGCTGTTGTTTTTCTCTCTCCTCTGTCCAGTTGCAGAGGGAGAGTGAGAGAGGGGTTTTAGTGGGTACCTGGTATCTGGCCAGGGTCAACCCACTACAGCATAAAACCAGAGAGGAACAAGGAAGAGATCAGTCTGCAAAACCTCATGGACCAGAGATAGTGGGACAAGGCGTAGCTATATAGGGTAGGAGTTCAGAGCACAAAAAACCACAAATGAGACTGTGCTGTAAAACAGGACATACACACATAGTCCAGGGAATCTGTTTGCTGGTTTTCTCCCATGTCTTGTCTGTCCCTCCTCCCACTGCAACCAGCTGACCAACTAACCACAGCTTCTCACTTGCTAAATCACTTCCAGGAAGATCGCATTTTCCACAACCCTTCACAGGTATACTGGGTTTAGTGCTGGGTAAGAAGGAAGATTATTCTTGTTATTTCTTCTTCCCTTTGATCTTTCCCTCTCTTTTTTTTTTTCTGATTTCAGAAACACTCCTCTTCATTATTGGACCAAACTAGGACCTTTGTGAATCAGAAAGCTAAAAACTAAGATCCTAATCCAGACAGGCTGAAAGCAAAGAAGAGGGGCTTGATATGTCAACTGAGAGCCATAGTCACTGGACTCCTGCAATGGCTCATTTTTTTTCTGGCTAACTTGGTGGGCCCCTGATTCACTCTTCCTCTAAACAGGACTAGAAATGTTCTGTTCGTTGATGTTGTTGTGTGCACTCCCAAAACATATTTTGGTTTCAGTGAATCAACACTGGCAAATTTCTAGTATTTTCCAAATAGCTCCAGTTGCTTTGTTTTTTTTTCATGTAGATAAAGTGTGTGCTTCTTGGTGAAGGGTACAGTAGGTTGTATAGTAACGGAAGAAATATGAATCACTTTCCATTTGCCTCTCTGCAGCACTCCATTCTCCCATGACACTGTGAATAAGGCAAAAAAATTAAGTCTATTTAAGCTCCATTCCAAGCCTGACTTCTTCATATAATATAGCTCATTTAAATCCTGTCCTTCATGTTTCCTGGCTTTCTTGCTTCATGTTTATTGAAGTGTGTATGTGAATTTCTAATAACCCATGCTTAGATGGATGTTTGATGCCCAAATTATCCAGAAAATTTGAGAAATGGTGCTTTTTGCAACAAAAGAGTTCCTTTGCTTGTCCACTTAAAAAATCAATTTGTGAAGCTTTCTGGCGTTTTCTCCCTTTATTTTCCAACCAGAAAAAAAATAAAAATAAAATCATTGTTAGTTTTTTCTATTAGTTGTTTTAAGTCAGATATTCAGTTCTTTGAAAATCAAACCTTGACATTTGTAGAGAAATTAACATGCAAAACCAAACTATTCAGATGTTTTGACTTTCACAGCATTTCTCCTACTACCTCGGCTTTTGGCAACTGAAACAATCCCCCCAAATTTATAAACATATGCAAAATGGTTCCAAATCCACTATTTGTTTGGAAAAAAAGAAAACTAATCAAACAAGTTAACCCTAAACATGCATCTCTTAGAGATAATAACTGACAAACAACGGAAGAGACAACACAACTCCATTTTGAATTTCTGCTTGGTTTTCCTTGAGGATATTTTTATTGGTAATGGATAATGAGGAAGAAGTATTTTTGCACACAAATGAGGAAGTGTTATTTGTCCACACATAAATGCCCTCAATGTAATATTTTTACTTTAGTTCATCACTATGAACATCATCTGCAGGACGCACTGATGGCCATTTAGAGCACTGAGTTTCTCAGCAATGCAAAATAAAGGTAATGCTGTGCTTTTGCCCAGTCAAAGCTTTTAAATAAATGCCCTCAGTATCTTATTTTTATCCTCATATGAAAAGGGAAAAGTTCTGAAATCCACCACAGTTTTAACACAGAGGAAAACCATTTTCTGACTCCCTTTTATCTCACTCTTCTGAAATGGTACTGTTTGCTCAGTGGATGGGTCTGTCTGCTAAGCAGATAGGGCTTTTTTATATTTTGTCCACCCTATTTTTGATATATCTTCCTTTTTGTTCCTAAAACTGAGGAGAAAGCAGATATACAGAACAGTTGTGTTTGTTAACAGACATGTTTTAATCTAAGCCATGGGAAAAAAAAATCTACTGTTACAAGCTGCTTCTTGTGGCTGAAGCACTCTGGTTACCAAGGCTCTGCTACTTGTTATGTTGTTCCAAGATCATAATGTCATGTCTAAGTGTGCTGACAGTCCTGCAATCCCACTCTGGCCTCCCACAGCAGACTGTGGAGGGACTGATTTCTTCAAATGAAGGTCAGTACCTCACTAAGACATGAAGTACAGCTCTCAACGACATTTACAAAGTTTCATGAGGACAATCTTCAACTGGAAAGGCTGCTTGCCCCTCAGTAGCCCAGTCTGTCTCCTAACAACGCATGTCCATAAGAATACTAGCATAATATTAATAAGTGAATTGGCAAGGGAATTTATATGCATACACTGTGTGTCTAGACCATCAAATTTGCGTTTGTTCTGTATTTTGTCCCAAGGACACTGCAACAAAGGTGCTAGTTGTCACTCAGGCTGCATCTGAAGCAAGGCACCTAATGTTCTTGGTGAGGAAGCCTCAGTGCAGAGGGTAGATTCTCTCTAAGGTTGTACCCTGCAAACAGTCTGCAGGTGAGCCAGACTGTACCAGACCACATGCACAGGCTCAGAGTTGCTCCAGGCATGAACCACAAGGGCAGCATGGACATAAGAGTCCAAGGTCACAGTCAGTACCTGTAAGAGACGTGTATGGAGACAGAACAACCACAGACAGAACAACTTACAACACCATATAGTACAGAAAAAAGACATTTCCGAGTGTATTTATTGAGAAATAGTAAAGATGTACATAATTTTACAAGCTTTTAATTTTAATTTACATTTTCTTAAATTAGGTAGGCCCTAATAAACTATAATCTGCTAATACATGACAGAGACCCTTGGCTTCAAATATTCAAAATGCTGCTATTGCTGGGATTTTGGCTTCTGTCACTTCAGCTTCTCTTCAGAGATACTAAATACCATATTCATTTACAACATATGCCTGTTGTCAATCCTTTAAAGCAGAGATGTCTTTTGAACTGAAACCCTGGATCTGGGTACAACCTCATAGCTAAAACCTAGTCTCCCTATCCTGGGTCAAGTCTATATTCTCCATAAACTCTGCAATTCTGATAGAATACAGGACCTCATCCACCCCAAGATGAAGTGTGCTTGTATAGAGGACTTTGATTTGGCCTCATCTCCCTTGTCAGTGCTTGCACTGGAACACACTCCACACTGCTTTAGATGCAAACACTGCTGCTCACACTGGATTCTAATGAAAACAGATCTGGGAGCTAGCTGCCACCTAGATCTTTGTGCAGAATCTCCACAGGCATCTAAAAATAAGCCTATTTTTTAGTTTTTTCTGTTCTCTTTTACTGAACTGCACGGTTTTGTATCTATTTAAGATACCAGTTTGTGACTGCAACCACACAATTTTTGTATTCTGCAAGCTGACTACTCAAATGCCTAATGAACGTTCGTGTTCTGTACTGAGAACTGCTAGAGTATCAGCAAAAGGCGTTATATTCTACACTTCATTTGCCAAAAATACTTGCAAACATGACCTTTGCTCAATCTTGGTTGTTGAGGAGAGGCTGAAGGGAAGGTAGTTTCTGATTAATATGCTTTTGAATTAAAATGCACCCAGTGTCAAAGTGACCAACCTTCCGTTTAATCTTCTTAGGCCCACCTGGAACAGCCTGATGTCTCTGCCTTGTTATTTTCTCCCCTGTATTGTTCATGCAGGAAAATATATCAGACTAATTTCTCCCTACAAGGAATGTTCTACACACTTTTATTTAAAGATATATAGCAATTTTTGCTTAGCAAGAGAGTATTCATGCTCTGAAATTTTGTATTGCGACGGCTTTCGAGCTAAATCCTTGAATTGTCATTGGATTCACATTTTTGTGGATTACTTATTTTTATAATTAACTTCTGTTATGGCAGCACACTGAACTTTGTCATGCTCTGTAAAACTTTCCTCCTTTTCCCTCCATCTCCTCTCTAGAAGTCCAGAATATAAATTGAGCTGCATCCACCACAAAAAGCTAAGCACAACTCCAATGAAGGCACTGCAAACCTTTTGTAAGAACCAACAGTTGTTGCTGGGCCACTTTTTGTTCTTACATCTGATTAGGAAAAGAACACTGAACAAGTAATTTGAGAAATAATATTACTTCATGCATTTAAAGAACACTGTGACTTGTCAAAAAAAAGAAAAAGAAAAAAAAAAGCTAGTTCACCATACCAATTTTTTGGCTTATCATGCTTTTACATTGAGATTTTTATGCAATGCTAGAACTTGAGAAAGGCTTTGAAGTTTTTTCCTATTCCAGTAGAAACACCTTCTCCCACCTGAAACACTACAAAAAGCTGTTAACTACAGCTTTTTATGAAAAAAGTACTTCCAGCACAAATCTGATTAGACAAGTACTGAAAATATAAAGAAGGTATGCATAATTTTTACTTTTTGGACACATAAATCTATCACCCAAATAGCTAGTCTATAGTGATTTTGTATGTGGCAAGTCTCATGTGATGGCTTTAAACTGCCCAGTGATAACAAATTATTGTTAGTTTGTTGTGTGGTGACTTGCATATCCAACTCTAACACAGAGAAGAAATCCCATTATTATGAATTTATAGAAGAGTTTTGCCTTGTACTTTTAGTGGCTCCAGGCTTTCACCAACCAACTAACTGTAATGTAACCTCAACAAAGTTTAAATCAGCAAAGTCACTACCTGGTAACTATGACATATGTTGGCTTCACAGCACAGCGAGGGAAGATTTTCACCTCAGTGCCAACTACTGTGCTTGTGCAGGCATCCCAGAGTTTGCATTTAACACCGTCTCTTGCATACACCTCTTCATGCAGTTCAGTGCACAGACAACCTCAGATGTCTCCATATACAGTCTTAAAAATTGAATAAAGTAGTTTCCATTTTCTGCAATGAGAGACAAACCACCTGCTGTTGTTTCAGAGTGCTCAAGCTGCACGTAGAGCACTAAGGACCTCGTGTACAATATGGATGTTGCTCATTTTCCAAAGATGAAAAATAGCATGTTCAAACTCGCAAGATAATCATTACTGTATGGACCGTAACTTTTAACAGAAATTATGAAAGTTAAGGTGATATGTTTCTCAATATTTCTTTATAAAAATCATCGTTTTATCTTCTCCTCAGATACCTGACATACTATTGAAATTTCTGGTTCCAAAACATTTATGGTTGTCCCTGTGTAGTATTTTGTGCAATCAAAAATGGGTGAGGAAAATCATGCTGACCCAAAACAAAATACATGGAAAGGTGGAACACAATTGAAAAACTACCAAAATGCTACTTTATGTACCAAAGTGGACTATGCTCTTGAAACGGCCAATGTCATTATGCCAGTAATTTCAGCAGCTTGTGTTGATCCTGAATATGCTAAATGGAGCATCGTTTGCACATCTGACTGACTTGAGTTTCTTTAGGAATTTTTCATTCCTAATGGAATTGTGTTTTATTCCCCATCTGGGCTTAACTCCACATTTTCACCTTCCAGTAATGCCACCTGAACACTTTGTCTGCTGGGTGGAACTTTGTTATTTTATACACAGCAGATGTACTCACTGTATGGCTTTCAGTGGGCTTGGTAATTAATGAATATGGCTCTTAGTTCTCTTGTTGGAGAATCAAGAAATGATGCCGAAGGTGTTAAACATTTTTTTTTAACCTTTCAACGTAGCGGTCCCCAATATTAACTTCCCAACGTACTCTTAACTTTTCTCAAACAATCAGTGGAATTATTCAGAATCCAAATAAAAACACGAACTTTCCTTTATTATTTTTTTCTTACTGCAGCAAATACTTAAATGCTTTGGTGCAGCTCTGCTCTTTGATTTCTTTGAATTTCAAATTTGGTCATGTCAAAAATTACCACAAAGGTTTTTCTTTGTTTATCTACAGAGTTTTTAACCAAAATTACATTATAACACACGAACACAATCTTCTCTTTAAGGCACAACACATCATTATGACATTCTGTTTGCCAAACTTATAAAAGAGACAATATTATATAACCCTTTCCCTCCCCTGCACCCCCAAAAGAAAGAAAAATTGCATCCACTTCCAAAATCAGCTGCTAACAAAGTCACAGTAAATTATTTTCATCAATAATTTACACAAATTACAGGTCTAGACAGGATTGTCATTATACAGTCTGAGTGCATTCCAATTCAGATTTTCTGGGTTAGGTAGGCTAAAGTCTGGTTCAAACCTCAGTGCTGAGAATATATCCCATTTTGAGGAATGTTGTTGAACACCACCTTGTTGGCTGGAAAACGCATTTTGGTGCTTTGCCAGTTTGAGTCCTTTGTTCACTCCTGTCAGGGCTCACTTGGTGTGTACCAGCAACCTCCACAGTTTTAATTCATTTAAAAATGTTGCATATATAAGACCATAGAGCTTCCTTATGTAGCACTAATGTTTTAACTTCATTCAGCAATCTGAATTCTTCAATTTGGAATTTTTAATTCCAAATATTTCTTCCCTTCTTAAGACAATTCATATGTGTAAAGCCAGAGGCATTGAATCACACATAAAAATTCAGTGTACTTGAAATATATATATAAAAAAAAGGATCGCCAACTTTAGAACACAGTTACAAATACTCTAGTTCCAGTGCTTGATGGAGAGCCAAGAGGTCCGAATGACTGGATATCCTCCAGAAAGGCATGTTGTGCTGTGTTTGTTAGAGGAGGGAAAAAGTCAGGAAAGATGAACACCGTGATACAGGGTGGTATATGACACACGAGGCTAGTTAGATTACCACCATGTATTTTACATCACTGTTTCTGGATTGATTTTTGGTATTAAAGTACTGACAAAAATCAGACCAAAATAGATCTGAGCTTAATAGCTCAACTGAAGTTAAAATAATTAGATAGTCTTTCTTAATAGTTTCTTTGGAAACAGCCTGTTACTTATTAAGAGCTACTTGCTTAATGTTAGCATGCAAACCCATACAAAGGAGCATTAATAGGAAATGCCTTTCTGCTCCACTTATTTGACTGCAAAATACTGAATGATCACTTAAAGGGCTATAAGACTTCCATTAAAAAAGGCTTCTCACTCAACACTTTGAAACAGCGTTGAATTACATTTTTTCTCCATCTAGGGGAAAAAGAAATCTTTTTTGATACGAAAATAACACACTTCTGGTTTAAGAAAAGATAATTTGTGTTGGAGAAAGCATCAGGATCTGAGAGGTGCAAGTATATGCACTATTCTCCTTCAACAATTCATCAGCATATTAAAAAACCCCATACTTTCATGTTGAGTTCAGATCTATTTGTAATGTGCCATATTCATCCCTCTCTCTGAATTCTGCACCTATCCATGCAATATAGTCAACATAAGAAAAAAAGCATGCCAAACTGGAAAACACACCATCAAACCACCATCGTTTAGCACAAATTATAAAAGACCCATCACCAATACTGTACCTATATTAAGGAACCATTTGGAATGAGCATTTTGGTTATTTTCATTTTCTTTCCATTCCAACTACAACACTATAAGGGTACTTTATTTTGCTACTCCTAGCTTAAGGATATTTACATCACTTGTCCTGTACAGACATTGTCAGGCAAAAATTACAGTTTCTGCACACTTCTAGGGGTTATACTAGAAAGCATGGCACAAATTACTGATTTTATCTGTTTCTGAACATTGAAAATTTTTCTGCTGAAATTAGACTTGAATTATCATCATAAGAAAATTGAATATTTATAAGGAAAGAGTTCTTTTTTCAGAACCACAGATTTGGTACACAATCTCTATGTTGTGTTCTTTTTCCTTTAGCAGATACATCTCCCTTGAAGCAAATTATATGTTTATCATATTTACTCCGGTAAATTATGGATCTTCATCTATGTTAGCAAAAAATTTGCACAGTCCTTTACATGTTTTTCCACATTCTCTGTAATACTTCTCTTGAAACATCCCTGATTTCAATATTTAGAGAAAAACACCACCCAATCATCGTGTTATAGCCCTTTCTATCTCTTCTGCTTATCTTTTGATTTGCTTGAAGCTAGTCAGACATTTTTGCTGCAATATTTCTTCATTTATTTTAAAAATAATTTTGTGGGGTTTTAATTTCTTTCCAAAGCCAAGTGAAGCAAATGCTAGAATCCAAATGGTTCATTTACTCTAGTTTTGATCTCATCATGCTCTTGCTGCCTTGCATCTGTGGACTGAAATTATTTGTCATTTTGTGCAACACTGATAGAAATGCAAACAGAAAGGCTTGCATTAGTAGCTATGTATCACACCAACATTTCAGAAGACAGGTTACCTTTTTTGCTGCCTGTTCTTCTTCTACACCATCCCCAATTACAACATATACTACTTTTCTGCCAAACCTTTGCATTATTCGTTCAAAGCAACTTTCTTTTCCTGGAAGATAAATGAGATAAGAGTTCAGAGTGAAGTTACCTGATTAGCTGCATGTTCCTCATCTCGGCCATCTCCAATCACAACATAAGTTATGTTAGTGCCAAATCTGGACACTATACGCTCAAAACAGCTCTCTTTGCCTGAAAAACAAGGCACTATTTATTCAAAATATCAAGTGAATTACAGTGAAGCCTTACAAAGGATTTTTGAAGTGGTAAGACATTGTTACTACTACTTTTGAAAGGTTCCCAGCCTTAGAGCCAAATCGGGTAAGTAGTAATGAATTCCCTTATTGACACTAAGCTGTTTCAGGTAAAGATAAATTTATTAATTATTACAGGAAAGCCACTAAGGTAAAAGAATTAGCAACTCTGCAAAAATTAATAGGTTAGTGAATTAAACCATACATTTACAAACCATAATACACAAAAGGCACACAGTTATGAACAGAATATGGAAGTGATCTTCTGGCATCCACCAATGCAGCTTCTGTTAGTAATAGTTTTCATCACCATCTCTGACGTATTATGCCTCGGGAAAAAGTTTGTGGAGCTGTGGCCTTACTTACATAGAGCTGAATGTCACAGCAGAGGTTATTTTAACAAAAGTTCTGCTCAGGTTTGAATTCACAGAACACTTTTCTTCATGGTTTTCTGCACGTTTTTTGTTTTCTCCACCATACTGAGGAATTTCTGAGGCTTTTAATCTGTATATTTATTCCTTCAGGCATCATTTAAAATAGGGCAACTTTGGAATTCTTCAACATAAAGATATCTCAATATATGCAACGTCTAAATCTTATAACTAAAACTGCTAAGTGTCAAGGAAGTGTTTTGGAATCCATCCATTTATGGCAAAAAAAAAATATTGGTAATGCAGTGTAGTGAGAATGAATGAAAGAATAATTTTCTTACCTATTTTGGTTGCACTGTAAATATTTTCAATAGGAAAAGCTCCTCCTAAACTGTATAGTAGAACTTTTGCAAGTGCTGGGATAAGCTGGGTCGTTGTTACCAACACGTTTACACAATTACTCCTAAAATGAGAGAAACAGTTTAAGTTTAAATAGTTTAGAAACAGTATCCAAATGCTGATGAAATGAACTAGCTGTGAAGAGCATATCCAGATTTCCTCAACACTGACTTTCACTCACACAGTAGTGCCGCTCAGCACCGTCACTTACAGAAAAAGGTACATAAAGCTTTGGAAAAAATCCTTTAAAAAATATGCAGGGCCTAATTTTTGTAGGAAGTATTCCACAGTGGTTTATAGAAAACAAGTCCTTGAAGATGGGTCCACTAAAACAGACATTTAAGACTACCAACTACCTCCAAAAAGAGGTATTTTAATGCTTTGAAAGCACAATTTTCATGCTGGCAATTAACTGGCAGTAGCCATCAGCAGTATAAAGGAGTTAAGAGAACACAAAACCATTTTTTGTTACTCTTTAAGGGAAATAAACAGCCAATACACATTTCGCCATAATGACATTACTTCCTTCATGTTTCAAGAGTAGGAATATTTCTAAGAAGGAGGATAATCATGGTAATAAGCTGGCATCAAACGGCAAGGATGGAAACTTGAATGGAGAAGTTGTGCTAGCAGCTATACAGTAGAAAACTCAGAGCCAGGCTACTTTAGGCACTGACAGGCTGGAACATGAGCATGACCATGGCATGGCTGGAGTTGAGAGCAAATAATTGTGATTTTTCCTTCTGGCATTTCCACAAATTCCAAGCAAGACCTTAGGCTACTATTTCTGACTTAAGGTATCTCAATTTCCTGTCAATAATGTAAGTAATGTTTAGCTGATTCATGAGTAGCTTCCAAAGATTTACAGTTGTACAGTTCTTTGAAGACAAGACAAAAGACTATTCTTTAACAATAAGGAGTAACTGATAACAGTTTTCCAGACTCATCCACCCGTGCTCAACTGCCTTCATTACCAAAAGTCTTTCTGAAGACTAACGATTTGGAAAGGAATGCAGAGCTAAACACAGCTTAAACAATCACAATTTTTTTACTTTTCTCCTGATGTGCTTAGGACACTGTTAAATAACAATTAAAAGATAAACATATTGCAAAACTTGTTACATTGAAAATAAGATTTTCATGTCTTGCCAAGTTTGTCTTTCCACTTGATGCTAAGTCCTCTCCCAGACATGTTCAGAAGGCAAGATGACTTAATGTTTTTCTTTTTTATGGTTTAAACCCAGGATTTTTTAGGATTTCTGGTAAGATACATGTTGCATGGTTGATTAAGCAGCAGCAGTGTTCATACTTTCATTGTTTCAAAGAACAGTACATTTTATGTCTCATTACTAGGAACCCAGATTTTAACTCAGTTAAAAGAAATTTTTGCTCTTCTGAAAACTTAAGGTATATGTTAATATATACTGATTTGCTTGGAAGGACAGAAGGAAAATGTTCTTGTGTTCTGGTATTTATACAGTATTCAGGTAGCACTGTGAAAAAGCACAAACATTGAAGGACAGAACAATCTGGAATTCAGAGAATGCTGTCCACAAGATAATAAATTAAAGGTTGGTTCAGAATTCTACAACACACTTTCAATGTACACCTATTTTAGAAGACATTTCATACTATCTTTAGTAAATGGTGGAATCACTTAAAATGAAACCACTTTCCACTTTTCCCATGTCATATTCCAAAGCCGTAGTACATCTGTTCTGTTCTTTAAAGGCACTCATTTACTGTAAGCTAAAATGCAGAAAATAGCCATTACATATCCAAAACTAGAACCTTTTTTTACAGTAGACTCAGATACATACCTTGTGCTGATAATTGATAATGATTTAAGTGCATTTGTTAGCCAGGAGTCTGTCAAAGCTTCAATCTCTGCTCTTAATTGCAACCATGCATCTCTTTTAGCGGGACCCAGGAGTCCTTTTATGTAAAAGAGAAAGAAAAATAGAATTAAATTATGTATTAGCTGGAATGTATTGGGGTTTATGGTAATTGTTTATATTTTAAATTCCACTAGAACTTGAACAAATATCAAAGAGAAAATCTATCGTCTTCAACCATCAGTAAATCTTTGGTTTTATTTGTACTTCACTGCATCAAACAATGTCAGAGAATATTTTAGATACTAATAATTAGTTTGATTTTTTCATCTATTCAGGTTGCTTTACTGTATTTCAAAGTATACCTTTCAGAAATACATATTTTTTAAACCAACTCCTCACATGTATCTTACTCTCAAATTATCAGAGGCAGTGACAAGAAGATCCATGTCATCAGGGTCACAGGCAGAGACAGTCACAAAAGAAGGTACTTTAGAATAAACTGGCCTTTGCAGTATCTGCATATGTTTAAAACTGCCCTGCTTATGACTGTATATAGGTGAACCGCAGGTTACACATATGAAAATACATTTGTTTGCTGATGGTTTGGTCTTCATGTCCTATTGTAGTTAGTAATGATAGCTCCTTCTATAGCATTTACAGCCCTGGAACAGCTGCACATCTTATGTTCTCAGATCTCAGTCTTTAAAAGCTCAAAATCTCTTTTTGTGTATAAATTGTAAGATATTTAAAAATACCCAGCCTATTGAACGTTGAGACATGAATTCTGTGGAACCAAGATATTTTAAAATTAGATTTCGTCCTGGAAGAACAAGGAAGCAGGCTTCATGCCCTTTAGTATCCCTCTTCTAACACCCTATGTTCCCAAGAAATGGTGATGACTGTCTTCAAAAATCTGAAATGAAGCAACCTAAAAATATATAGATTAGTCTAGCCTTCTGTTGCCTTCTAGCCACTATTCTGAAATAAACAGATAAATACGTGATAAGTAGGTTATTAAAAAGGCTAAGAAGTAGAGGATGAATGAATAAACTTGCCCACTAAGGATGAATTATATTTCAGAAGCAGGATTTCTGGGAGTACAATGCATCATGTATCTGCATTCTGCCTTTGCAATGATTGTTCCTCTTAGTGCAATTCCTTATGTTGTGCTCTTGGACTTGAGCTCTTACCAGTGTAAAAGGTTTTATGAAATGCAACAGCTTTAAAATCTTAGATGCATTAAGAGATATAAGAAAACCCAGTAAATGTTTGGTTAATACTGGTTCAAGAATTATTAGCATACAAAAACTATTCATGACACCAATAAAGGGCAAGGGAGGGCAAGTGAAAGACAGACCTCTACTACCACCCTTTGGTCCTATTGCTTCATCCTTTGGCATGTAAAAACTCTGAACTACTAAGAGTGAAAATACATGACTGTGGCAATTATTGAAGACTTCTAAGTATTCCTTGTTCTCACAGTCTCTTTTTGAATGGATCAGTTGACATATTCACCTCCTCAGAAGAGGGCTGGTTGTCTCTGCAAGTCACAGGACTCTCCACAACAGATTCTTTTGGTACTGCTGCTCAGTTACTACATGTCTACTGGTAAGGACATGAGCAAGTCCATGAAGTAAAACAGTAACAGGAAAGCTCTTGGCCCAAATGAGACTTGGACTTATTGAGAACACAACTGTGTAAGCTACAGAGTCAACAAAAGGGGCTATTGGCATGGCAGTGCTAAAATTTTCTTGAATCCACTGGTGAAAACAGACTAGCAGGTACCCAGCAGAGTTCAGGAGACTGTGTGTTGCTACCAACTAGATCGTGAAAATGTAGGATGGAAATGGCCATCCACAACCAATTTGTGCTGTGGAAACTATACAACATCTTTCCTAGAGGCAGTGTATTTGAGATAGAATAAGTGGTTCAACCAATCAGTACAGTAAGAATACCTGGGTCTAAAGCAGGAAGATGGGCTCTGTTGGAACCAAATGAAAGCCTACTTGGTTTTTCCAACTCTTTCTCCTGCACAACAGCATAACACTGACTTTGCTGTTCCAGTCAGTAGCTTTCAACAGCCCATGGTCCAGTTACATCACTTTCCATTCCCTCAGTGGCTTCCCAGGCACATTCACTTGGTAGGAGTTCATCACCATGCAGTTTAGACTGATCAGCAGTCTAAGTTCATTTTGACAATTAAACTCACCTCCTATGTTGTTCTTGTAAGTATTATACAACTCTTTTACTCTTCTGTAACGGAAAGCCAGCTTCCTCATCCAGTCAACCCCTCCTCTTACACCTGTTGGCAGACAAAGGTTTGCACTACTTGCAGCTGCATGGAAGCCATCAGTTGCAAAACTGTAGGTACTGCAAACACCCAAAATACAGTAAAAATAAATACAATGTATTCCTGTAAATGCTCAAATTATTTAATCTTTGAAAATAAAAAAAACAAACAAATGCTGTATCTTACCTTAGGTCTTGTCCATTATCATCAGAAGAAACATCATCTATATGAACTTGATCACACTCCTGTTGAAAACAAACAAACAAACCCAAATGATAAGTTATCTTATGAAAGAGTGTAATCACCATTCCTGGAAGTCTTCAAAAGGCATGGGGATGTGGCACTTGAGGATATGGTTTAGTGCTGAACATGGTGGGCTAGGTTAACGGTGGGCTGGTTAGACTAGATGATATTAGAAGTCTTTTCCAACCTTAATGATTCTATGATTCTATCCTCACCACAGGCTTAGTACAGATGTTGAAGAAAGGACCGGTGCAGTGCACCAACTACACCAGAAGATGGCAGAGTGGGTACACTCACAGCTTCCTATCACCATCGTCTTTAAAATAATAAAACCTTCAACTCCTACATAGTGTACATTACTAGTTAAAACGGGCCTTTAGAAAAGCAATATGCAATTTTGGTGTAATTTTAGATTATTTTAATTGTAAACCCCCAACAATTGCAAGTCTCATTAATAGTCTCCTTAGTATACCAATACTTAAAAATCACCTAAATCAGATTTTCCCACTCCCTAAAAGCTAATGATAATGAACCTCAACAGGCATATGACTTATGTTAAGTAGTTTGGACATGTATCAGGTTCTTTTATTAATTTATGCAAGTGCCTTTTGCTGGGAAATCACAGATAATCATCAATCCTCAAGAACTTCATTATTTCCTGGTTTTGGAAGGGATGGAAGCAACATGAGGGAACTGAGGTACACTAGAAAACTGAACTCCCCTCCAAGATGGTTTTATAATTGGACAGCTATCAAATATCCGTATCTGAACAGTGGTTATAGCAGAAAGGTAAGAAAATGTGGGGGAAGCACAGTAAATAAATAAGTCAAGCCATCATGCATCATATTAACTGTTTTCAGCAGCTGTTTGAACTAACATCTTAACCCAAAGACACACCTGAAATTCAATGTCCAGAGATTTTACTTTGCTGTATGTAATTTTTTAATATTTAAAACAGTTATTGTTAACATAGTTCTAATATGTTTTAAGGAAAAGTTCAAGGATGTATTTAAAAATTACTCCCCAATTAATACTTTCCAATAATTTACTCTCCTTACTTAGGCAAAATGAGATTGAGCTTTCAAAATCCACAGCTCTATGCCTCAAAGAAAGAGTTGTTTGAGTCATCTATGTCAAATAAAGTTGCTGACAAGCAGCACTTAATTCAAGCTCTCTGTGACATGCAAGAAGACACAGTTCTAAGTTTCCAGTCTCTGTCTCATAAGAGTGCTAAGTTGTACAGATAAAGGATAAGTCTGAGCAGAGGAGTTATTTCCAAATGTGTATGCCACAAGTTCCTAGAGCATGAGTTGGGGAAATTAACATTTCATCTGTTTTGTCTGCTTTGCAATGAACGAAAACTTAACAGATTTTACCCATGTGAAGTAAGTTGTTAAAAAAAATATTAGCAGTTTTTAAATAAAATAAATGTATATGATTTCATTTTCAAATACGTACTTTCATTTCATCATACAAGCAATCATAATTTAAAATATTGAGTCAAAGCTAAAAAAATGAGTTACCACACTCTGCTCATCTGGCTGAGTCCATTAAGACAGGTATGACAGAGATGTGTTCAAGGAACAGAAGTGAAGCATTCTTTTCCTCACTGGAGAAATAAAATTTTTTTGGTTTTGTTTGAGGAGATTATCTTGAGTTGTAGAATATTTTAAAGAAGCTGCTCTGGGATTTAAATAGTAGATGAAAAGAGAAAGTAAAGGGGAAGGGACAGTTGAAATAAAAGATTGATTCCTTTATCCTTATTTATTATTTACACTCTAGAAAAAAAATGCAACTATGCTTCACCCCGTGTAGCACAGGAACTCAAAAATCAAGACAAAAAGCCCCACTCTTTATTTTGCAGTATCTAGCTTCCTAATCACCTTCACAGGTTTCCCTGGAACTAGCGAAAGTTTAAAAGTTTAAAAATAATTTCTGTGGATTTGAAGGTGTACTATTAAATGAAGGACACACAAAAGCCTTGATGGATAAGTCAGTTTGGATTTTGTCAATCCTTTCAGCTACATTGTTCCAGCCTTGAAAATTTCAGATAACTGTTCTGCTGATAATTTCATTATTAAATTAAATATCAGTGGGTGGCAAAGGCTCAGCTGTTTTTTTTTTTTTTTTGGTTGTTTCACAGTTTGTTCATTGTGATTCTGTGATTGACTCCAGGAATAGGAGGGTACCATGCAGTTTTCAGATTACTTGTCCCTTGAAGAAGGTTGTTAAGCATACAGGAGACCAATCCCAACAGCACTCTCCAGCTTACTCCTTTTCTCCCTTCATCTTCTTCTCTCAGCATACTGGCAACTTACATTTGCTGAGCAGCAAATAACTCCTGTGCTCACAACTCCTTGCTTTTGTTTACTTTGTTTTCTTGTTTACTTACTACTTCAACTGTTTACCTTTTACAAGTTCACTTGTGTCAAAAAAACGTGCCATAAAAAAAAGAAAAAGCAGATGGGTTGAGCAGATTTGAGATAGTTCTCTACTTTTTCTCAAAAGAAACAGGAAACTGGTAGCACAACACATCATCTCCCCATAACACCAAACAGTTATGGGGAGGAAGGAAAGAAAGCAAGCTCTCTGACACTGTAAATGTTAAAGTAAAATACTTTTCACATCAGTTGCAGTACTGGTTAAGCTCAAGTCACAGTGGCTCATTGTCAGTGCAAGGTCAAAACATGAAAACATGCATGAGTTGTATGCATACAACTCAGTACATGAACTCTGGAATTTTATAAGAGAGGTATATTTTGGTAATTTTATAAGAGTTGGTTTTGAAACAAAGATTAATTCTGGGCTATAAAATGTTTAATTTCTTATAGGAGCTGTGATTATTGATTGCACATAGAAACTGTTTTTAATCAAATCAAACTGACTGAGTTACGAGACTCTCCAAGATAGTCCCCAAGTACTACTTTTTGATTTATCTACAACTGGAAACTATTTGGATACTGCTCAAGCTATGGAATGAGCTGGTGCATGAGTTTTTGGACAGGATATTAAAGGCTCCTGATGAAGACTATCCAAAATGTGATGATCCACCTATGAAAGCTGAACCTGTGATTTGTAAAGAAAATAAAAAATGAGAGAAAGGTAGGAAGCTTCAATAGCCATAAGCAAGAATAAAGAGGGATGGAAGGAGGGCAAAGCTCCATTTTTGCTGAACTCCTCCACTCGAACTCAGCACAAGATTGAAGAACTCTGGGTATATTCTACCAAATTGCTTAAAATTCATTCGTGTTGCATGAAATCTGAATGCACAGGGGCAAAGGTCTGCTAAAGAGAAACTGAAGAAATGCTTTGGAAAATTTATTTGGTGTCTCTCTCTGGTACAGGGCACCAGAAGAACATTCACCAAATACACTTGCACTGTCAAGGGATGACTCACTAGGACTGCAATAAAACACTGGGAAAGGCATGTCCAGGGCTTTATTTCTTAGGTTTCTGCTGCTGGAAGGAGGAAGTGCAGCTCAGGTGTGGGGTGAAGTAGATTCTAGTTTCTTGACTTAAAAAGATCTAAGAATAGATGAGGTCTACAAGGGGTAGCAAAGGCAACCACACACTGGTACCTTCTGCTTTTCTTACTGCCTACAGTTGTTGAAGGAACAAAAGACACACTGAAAAAATCAACATCCCAGGGGATGAAAAAATCTCACTTATTTTTTCTATTCTCTCACCAGAGACCTTCCTCTGGGATTCTGAACAAAACCTCCAAGTCTTCCAGCTGCCATTAGTGGCAAATATCTGTCCACAGAGGGAAATCTGGGATCCCCTTTGAATAAGAATACAACTGTTTTAGACCAGGGGAAGGTCTGAAAAGCCCATAGTTTAATCTGAAAACTGCTTTTCACCCTGTCTCTTGATGCGCATGGTTATAAGACTATCATTTTCCACGCTAACAGATCCAGACTCCCAGAGTGAAATAAAAAACCTGTGAAGCCCAGCTGATGAGCGTGCTTCCCAGACCACTGTCCCTGCAGTAGTCCATCCATGTGCTTCTGACAGGTAATCTGTCCACAGCAGGTACTCCCTAGGGAGAGGTCTTTTCTGACCAGTTGCCAAACTGTACACCCCGGGTATACTGTGACAACACATGTGGTTGCCTGGTTACCTTGGGAAAAGACATCATCGATGAATACATTATAGTCCCAGCTCTCTGATGCTGCAGTCTTTTGAGGTAAATGAAGAATATTCTCCATTTGAACAAGAAATGGGGGCCTGTGGCTAAAAGGCTACTCAGGTATGTCAAGAGAAGAACACAGACTCTTGTGATCAGATGATGGCACCCACTGAAAGTGAATATAAAGAATTTCAAGAGAAGAACGTGAGGTACATATGTTCCCCTCCTGGAGATGACAGCAGACAGCTGAAAAGATGGCTATACGACATAGAAAGGAATGGGTAGTTTGCAGATTGTCTCTCTCATTGAGTTTCATGGAAGGACTCTGGTGCCACAGGAAGTCAGTGCCACCTGGCTAACCTCTCTCTGATTAGAGTAGGACCAACCTAAAGACTACAGAGGCAATAAATGTCACACACAATAAACAGTAATGCACAGCAAATCCACCATGTTAACAAAACAGGAGCAATGGTGTTTACGTTCCTTTGATTCTTACCTCTAAATCATTAAAAAATAAATGTGTGTCAGCAAGATTAAAAATCATTTCTTCCATTCTCAGTCCAAGCGTCACTGCCATTGGCGGATCCTTAAAAAACAGAAAGCAAGGTTAACCACTTACACACTTGTAAGTTAATGTCAGAACTACTTTAAAAATTGCTGTATTCAAAGTATTTTGAAAAATTAACACAGTAAGAAATTTCTCTGAAATCCTTTCAGTATTAAGCTACTTTAATATGATACTGTAAGAAGAGATTGCTAAACCTGTGCGAGAAAATCTGGGGATTTTCAACAGCTGGATGTTGAAAAATCAAGCTTTTTGAAAGTTGAGGAATTTACAACCTGGCTGAACTGACAGGAAAAAACCTGGTGGCCATAAACATACAGATAAACAAGTATAAAGAAGGCTGGAAACAGGGAAGGAACTTTTCACTAAAGAAGTATGTAGGAAAAATATGGTGATAGGAAGGTGTGACTTAAGTGGCCTTTTCCATTTCTAATGTCTCTGCTTTATAAAAATACAAAAGATAGTCTGAACCTATGTCCATTTCCCCAAATTCAGTTTCACTTTGGATAAATCATCACAGCCTTGGCTATACTTAGATCTACATTGCTTCTTTCCCACACTTTCTTCCACTCCAGTATGTAGCTTCAAACCTTGCACTTGATCCTTCTCTGTTTCTGTATTTCCCATTCTTCCATGAAGGCACTCAGTGATGAATTTCTGGTCTTTCCTTTATGATTTTACTGCAGCTATTCATTCAACAAAGTGCCTACAATCTATGGCACGATTCTTTAGCTGGCCCACAGGAATGGGAAATGTAGGTTTGTAAGTTTGTTTGTTTGCTACAGATCACCTATTCATTTCTGTAGAAATACTGGATTCTTGTCCCTGGATGAGATTCATTCAAAATGTCCCATTTGTTCGTGCGTTGACTTTCACACTATCAAACTGCTCTATCTCAGCAAGAGATCACAAACCTACCGATCTGCAATAACACTATCTGAGAGCATTAAGTGTGTAGTAAATGTAAGGTAACTAATTTAACTTTTCTAGGTTTGCTAGGACATAGTAAAGCAAATTTGCATTACTTTACATTTGTTTTAGAATAATAGTTCCTGGTGCTTTGCTGACATCTGGTAATTAGTTTGATTACTGTCTTAATTATCTGCCTGAGCTTGTGGTGTTAACTTTTTAATGCTTAATGTACTGCAATGGACTTTCAAAATACATGTGATCCTCTTATTAAAATATGAAAAAAAAAGACTATATTCCATAATTTAAACTTTGATTGACACTATCAAATTTTCAGAAATTCCTTCTTAAATACCTTGAGATTTAAAGTCTAAAAGTTTACCAGCATGTAGCAACAAAATCACACAAAACCTCAGATGATCATTTGTTAGCATTTGGATCAAAGGCTTCCCAACCAAGCTCAGACACCCACTACTCCAGGGCTTCACAGTGACAGAATAAAATATGGCTTCTGCACTCAAGCACTTAATAACTAATGGTAAAATCTAAAACACAGACATATTTTGACTCTTGCTCACAAAAAAGTCATACCTGAAGGGGAGAACAGTATTCAAGAAATTGTAATGATCCAAAGTTAGATCCAATACTTTCAGCAAAAGGAAATATTTTTATGTTGACCCTTGAACTGGTCTAGACTACCTTTCAGAAGTAAAAACCAAATGCAGTGCCCAGTAACAGAACTTCATCCCCTCTGTCTTCTGCAGTCATATTTACTGGATTTGAAAATCACATGGCTAAAGGCAGCAGCAAGTGCAAAGGTCAGTTTTCCAAGAGGATGATCAAGGAACACACATTAACAGATTTGTAAAACTCATGTTAGGTACTTAGAACACAAATAATCAAAATACCCCAGACTCATGAGATTCCTCATCAAGCCATGATGTTTTTATCAAAATGTCATCACATATAAACATGTGTTTGCATTTTTCTTTTTCTGTGTACAGTTAATTATAGATTTTTCTTCCTAGATAAAATACAGTAGAGACTATTTGCAATATGCTTCTTTGCCTCAACCTACAAACACTAAGGCATGTGCATAACTTTATGAACAGGTGGTAATTCATTATTATTTATGTAAGTTACTCACTGGAGTGCGTCCAAAGCTGTAATCTCACTTTTGATTATCATCCCTGTTTTTACCCCTTTCTGGGTAGAAGCAGACTCGCATGTGGAAATTTGCTGTAATGTATTCCATTATAATGCAATTTGTTTTTACAGAAACTACCACCTATGTATGACAATTTCCTGCCTTGCATATTATAGTTGAAAGACATTAAATGTGACAAAGCTTTTATGATTTTCTTATTAATAGTAGTTTTGTAACCAACTCTGCCTGACTTTATTACTATTAATATTATATTTCCTATGTTCCTGTTTTGACAAAGGTATGAGAAGGATATTGCAAGGTACTACATGAAAAACAAAATAAAGTAAAAATAATTCATTTCAGCTTAGCACAAAATCGATATGGGATCTCCCCATAACAACTTCTGCTAAGGAGAGTCACTGGAATTGAATTCTCAAGGCATGAACAATTTTTCCCTTAATAAATTGACCAAAACTTGCACTGCAACTGTTTAACAGGAATTACACATCATGTTCCAGCTCTTGCCATGTTAAGTTATTTTCTTCACATATAAAATAGGCAAAAAAAAGAAGATTTGTCAGGGTCTTGTGGTTTTATGCTGTTTGCACAACGTGGAGGAACATCACAATCATCGTTTTACAGTCTTTCAACTTGAAGCAGAACTTACAGACTGATTCAAGTGGCACAAAGGACTGAGTGTTAAAAAGAAAGCAAGAAACTTGCAGCTGATACAGATTTTAGCACAGCAAATTGGAAAACTTAATAAGAGGCAGACTGAACTTCTGCCAAAATAGTATTTTCAGCTACTCTGCACAAGCACACACAAAAGAGGAAACAATGATTTAAAAAAAACCCCAAACAAATCTGGAAGTTTTCCCCAGATAATTTGTAGAATAAAGAACAACTCTTTGGCCCTCAGAGGCATGATGTTAGCCAGATATCATTAGTGTGTAGAAAAATCAAGACCAGCTAAAGCAGCTCTGTATACCAAAATACAAATTACTTTAGTTACGTTCAGATGAAGGCACTACTCTGGAGCCAGACTGTCTGCCTGTGGATTTCTGTACTAGACTGGTCCATCCACTGGAATGCCTCCTGGGAGACTAGATAAAAATATCCTAGGAGGACCAATATTTATATGTGTGTTTTGACCAAGAGGAAAGTGACTGTAATAAAGCCCCAAAAGCTCAGTGTCCATTAGTAGAAGAAATCTATTTAATACTGTCTTGGAAATCAGGTTTCAGCAGAAGATGTTCAAAATCATTTCATTTCTTGGGAAAAAAATACAAACATCAAACTGACTTTTAGAACACCTCAGAAAACAAAGAGATTACTGTCAGGTAGATTTCTTGTGACAGCAATTTGGATGCATAAAGCCATAAGCATGAAAACAAGTAAAATATATGAATAGTATTGTATGAAGTGTTTTTCAATGGGTGGCTGTCCTGAACAGACTCAGAACAAAACTGGTCTCTGGGAAAAGTGGAAATGCTTTATTTAAATACCAATATTTTTAGCTTAGGGACACTTCCCTATATTATGTAGGAATCTCAGATTTAATTTCAGCTCTAACTCTCTCATAGGGGACACCTGTCCCAGGAGAGATTCATATGGGTGGTAACGGAGGAAGAGAATATATCTCTTCTTAATAATCATATGTGGTGGCTGATGAAGGAAAACTCACATACTCCATAGAGAGTTTCTGTTCCATGCTCTCTAGAAGGTGGTAGGAAAATCAACTCAGAGCTCTCAGACAAGGAGAGAGTGAATAGAGAGGACAACTGGAGGTGATGAGAGGTACACTGTTAATACAGGCGAACAAGAGAGTATTTATGAGTGAATTTGGGAATGTCATCACGGGTGTTAATGGCGACAAAGTTTTTCTGCTTAATGACTGGACAAGCAGAAAGTGAGCAGTAAAAAGCTTCTGAGCCCTTTCAGAGAAGCATACAAGGCCTCCCTGACAGCTTTCTGTAATTCGCAATGTTATCAAAAATGGCAAAATATGATCATCAAGTGTGGATTTATTTTGATTTTTGCACTTGGAAATCACATTCTCTCCCTTCTAAGCTCACAAAGGAATTTTTTTCTTTTTTTAACTAGTTGCACCTTGAGTCACATCATTTATCTTGGCATCCTTACCCCCTGGGTCAACCTGGGAGTAATGAATGCAACATAAATGCTGGGATGTAGACAAAACTCCAGCTTAATCAGCCTTCAAACAGCCAGAATAACTGGAATGCAATAGAACAAAGAATATTCACTGTTCACAGGGAATAAGAATGTACCTCGTAAACTTTAAAGAGATTATATCTCCTAACACATGTCCTGTCACATCAACCAGTGCTCACTTAAGAGCTCAGCGTTGTAGAAAAAGATATCTGCCAACTGGTGTTCAGCTGCAAAAACCATCATTGTCCACATAAGTCACAATATAACAGCTCCAATGCCAATGTTTGCAATATGCTACTGCAGTAAGTAATTTTAAATAGAAACGTACTAGTTTTATGAAGAACAAAGCAGATGAGCAATGACCTAAACAGCAAGAGGTACTCTTATTGTTGGGAGGTAGCATGGTTTCCCTGAAACCTAACACAGCTGTAGCATAGTTTTTATTCCCTTTTTATGTTAGCTTTGACCAGTCCAATAAAATAACCACTACACCAAAAGTCATAGAGAAATACTCACAGGTAGAAAACATCAAGGCACAGAATATCCTCTGGGTAAGTTTTATATTTAAAATTAAAAGAGAAACATTGACCAACCTCTGGCCAAGTCTCTTCCCGTTCAGTTGCTTCGAAGCTATACTCTACTGGTGCCCAGAGAAGTAGTTTGCTCTGTGTTTTAAATGAGATGCTTATAGCTGAATCCAACAACTTAAATCTTTGAGCAAATTTTACTTTTGCTTTTAACACGGTTATTATAACAGCTCTAAAAAATCCTGAAGTCAAATAACTATCACACCACGCAAAGTGCTGAACAAGTTTATACCAAGGAGAGTGTCCGTTCTCAACTTCATAAACCCTCAGGCATAAGTCAGAAATTTGTTGTTCTCTTGACAAATATACAATCTGAAACTTGCCTACTGGATCCAGGCCTTCCCAAATATTCTCTGCCAATGAAAGCCCCCATTGCCTATGGGAATGTTGGTTTGCCTTTTCTTTTTCTTTTCTACTTCAACCACTTCTTAAACTGTAGAAATATTTTTAAAGAGAAAGTGTTTATTCCAGGTACAACTGCGGCTCTCAAGTGCTTCTGCACTCACACAGAGATCCCTTCGCCAGGCCATAATATGCTGCACCTCTCCTCACTGCATACCTGCGCAGCCTGAATTGAAGCAGAACAGAGAGATTAAAAGACTAATTTCTGAGTTTTTCTTTTCACCCGGTTACTGAAAGAAACTGCGAAAAGAAACTGGTGAAAACAAGGAATGAAAGTTTGCATGTCAAGGAGTAGATGGGAAAGAACTGTAGGTGAATATCCTTGCCTGTCTGTATATTCACACTAGCTCTATACTCGCTCCTTGCATCTCATCTCACTCACTCCTTGCAAGTATGAAATGAGCACACTTGGTAGAAATGGTATAAGGAGATGCCTTCCCTTAAAGCAATGTTCAGATTAACAAGACATGCTATTCTCATGTAGAAAATTTAAATATGGGTGATAGGGAAAATTCTCCTTTTCCTTTGAGGGTTTTTTTAGTGAGGTTTCTTTTTTGGGGAGTAACTCAGTTATGTTATACAAAATGAGTTCATAAAATACATGTGGAAGAACATGCACAGCTAAGCATCTGTGTGACATTAGATGCCTTTATTTTTTAAAATCAGACAGCAAATCATCCCAATTAAATAATTTAGTATCACTACTATTTCTTTTTTCATTGTTAAGTAATGATTTTATACTACCTTTCCAGGATAAAGAGCTCTCTCAAGACTTTTGAAAGACCTATGTGCTCACACAGCTTCTGCTGACAACCTCACAGTTCCTGGACTATTTACTCTCATAGCAACCCCATTCTCATAACAATCCAATCTTCAATCTGTATTAAGACCTTGTTTAAAGATGGAAATCATATGCAGAAAAGATAAGGACTACATTTGTTAACAATGTCATGCATCAAAGACTGAGTCAAGTCCATCTGTGGTATTTTTCTCTTCTCCCATTTCTAACCTCTTAGGCAATTAGGCTCAGACACATCCCACCTTAAGTTTAGTCAGCACTTCAGTGACATGCAAAAGCTAAAGCCTGCTCATGATAAGCTCTCCCTGCATTCCCTTTCCTACTGCTCTAGCCACCTTGCAGTTAACAATATATATATTTGAGTTTCACTGGTAATTACTCATTACATTCCAAACAAATTGTAAGTAAATATGGCAAAGGCAGTCATTGCAGGAAAGAAAAAGTCTACAGTGCCTGGAAATGAACACCTTTCCTTCGCTGTGTGCCAACTATCAGTACCAAAAAAGAAAAGAAAAAGGAAAAGAAAAAAATATTTTACTTAGGAATTCCCTGCCTTTTGCTTCGTAGTCATCCTTGACATTTGTTTACTGATGTTGATCTCAGTTACCCTTGAGATACTCTTGGTTTATAGAAGCCGACTTAAACTACTCTTAGTACTACTGGCTGTTAATATGCCATTACTGTTCTAAAGTCTCTGTATGAAGAGTCAGTTTTAGCAGCACATGTGTTCTTAAGAACAATGTACTGGGATGTTTTCAAATATCCTTACTCCTAACTAAGTGGGAAATGAAGAGGAATTACATTTCTGTTGCAGTTTCCAAGACAGTTTTCAAACTTATCCATAGATGTTTTGTGAGCTGGAAAATGTGCTCTGATTTCATTAAAGTTGATTTAGGAAACATCTTAAGGACACAATCAAAAAAAAATGAAAGGAATGACTGCATCACTGGAGCAATTCAAAAAGTCCTATGGCAGACTATAGGCTACTCTCAAAGTCATAGAAATGTTCATGTTCAGCTAGGTTTGTCTCTTGTTTTGAAAACTATTAGTTGGAAATGGTTCTGACAAAGTCACTGTTGTTACAATATTTGAAAAACAGTAGAAGAGGATTTCTTGTCAGAGTACTGAATTGTGCACAGATTTGGCACTGTGAAGCTGCAAAGCAAGCAAAGCTGATTTTTTTAAAAATACATGAATAACTATCCTTATCTTAGAATTCCAGAAATTCAGATTTTTCACTTGGCCTCTGATTTTTCCTACTTATTTTTAATAACCAAAAAAGGCTGCTCACATGGAAGACTGGTCCATCCATGGTTATAATCCACAGGTTTTGGCTTTGGATATTTCTAACCCACTGGTTGGAGAGGTAGGTGTGAAAAGCATTTCTGTAATATACTATTTCTTACATGTTTTTCTCAAGTATCTGATTCTGGTCAGAATAAAGAGGCTGAGAAGATGCTAAACAAGCCCTTTATCTGACAGAGTATGAACATGGTTATGTTATGTTCTATGGTTCTGTTCTTAAAAAGTAATACCTTTGCATTCATTTCACTGGAATGGCACAACACACAGAAAACTATGTATGTACATACCAACATTCCCCTTGTCCATTTTCTTCCTTCCACGAATTTGCTTAAATTTTTTTTCGTTTTATTCTGGCCTTTAGCTCTACTCCTCCCACTAGTCTGCTCCTGTTGCTATGCACCAGCCCCTTCTCCTTTGCCGGAGCAACCATTTCCTGGGCTCCCACCACCAGTACAGTGGGGCTCACTGCTGACTCAGCAAGGGAGCTTCTGCTCTTGCAGGCTGCCACTGCCTCTCTTTGCCTCCCTCACTCTTCTTCCTACTCTCAGGCTCACTGCTCCTTTTCGACTCATGGGAGGGGAGATGATGCTTAAAACTACTTAAGAGACAGTTTCACTCCCCAGCATTACTCACTCCAGAGCCAGACACGGGAACCAAAGATTTCTCAGAAAAGGTGGGGAGTCAAAGAATAACATCTGCAGCTGTCACTGAAATAGATCAGACTCTTACTTACTCACCCTGATTTATCAATTTCCCATAAATTCATCCACCACTCCAGTTTCTTATTTCTTCCTCTACGCTTCCAGATACTCTCAGTTATTTCCATTTGTGCACTTAATCTATTATCTCCCTGCAATGTCTCTTCCAATGTCAGAAACCTCATCCTTGTTCCTCTATAAACTCTTCCCTCATTTGCAGCATCTGCTTCAGCCCTTATATACTGTGCTTAGGGTCTGTGTCTCATTTCTGTCCTTGACTTCTTCACATTAACCCTCTGAAAATGGGGTTTCCTGTACACTTTCCCTTCAACTATGACCAAGCCATAATGAATGTGGGAGGTGAAAAACATATATATATATGCAAGCCAGATAGCTCTGATAAAGTGAATTGACACAGAATTCATAGCTCACATACCTTGCCATACTTTTGTGCATAGGATCCTGTAAGCAGTGAATGAAAAACTATGATTGTTTCATCCAAATCCCAAACAAACACACGCTGAAAAGAGAATTGGAGAAAATATTATCGAACAAATAACATCCAAGTTCCACCACCATCCCACCCAGGGGGGCTAAAAGTCAATGGAGTCCTAAAGTTTTATCAAGCATTTAACAGAGTAGGTTTTCTCTGAAAATCAGCAGTAACGGTGTATCATGCATGGCAAAAACTCAAAAGAAGAGTAACTTTTTTTCTCTTCAACCATTTCTTATTTGTCCTTGAAAAAGCTTTCCACAAAAGCTCTATAACACAGATTTCAGAAACATGATGTGTGGTCAAATGTAATTGTTAAGGATAAACAGTACTTTCAGATACTTCTCTGTGAGTCTTATTGATTCATGAATCTTCTTTATTTCTACTGTAGAACTAAAATAAGGTCTTGGGTAAAAGTGCCACATATAATGCAGAATTTAAATAATATTACAGAATATAACAGATCATACTAACTCCATTTCATTAATTCAATTTCACTAGTTTTCATTTTCATTGGTAAATAAAAAACAACAAATAAATATACGAACAACCCCATAAACAAACAAAACGACAAAACAAACAAAACAAAACAAAAGAAGCCTGAAATGTAAGAAGTTAGTCTCTTCTCTGGAAGAGTTAAATCTTTTAAAAAGCAAAAAATATATAAGTTTCTGTACAAAAGCAATGGCATTTACATTCAGTGCCTAGCCCTGGAGCCTACCCTGCTACCCCAGGAGGGGCTGTTTAGCCAGCAAGTCCCAGCACCAATTCTGTCTTCTTCTATACCCAGCACTGGTCAGTGAAAGCAGAGCAGTGGGGCTGGCCAGGGCTGCTGGTTCCCAATGCTGCTCTGGTGGCAGTGGGGGACACACTGTACTGGCAGGCAGCACACCCCTGATGCCAGAGCTGGAGTATTACACACACAGGCACTTCACTTACTCCTGTAACTGTAAGGCAGTGCACTGCTAACACAGCAGTAACAGGACTATAATTATTCTGTTTCTAAGACATCCCCTGTGCTTGAAATCATCCTCCTGTATATTAGGCAGATATATTTCATTGCTAAACACCGATCTTGCACTGTACTATCTACTGACAGAAGCTGCCTCATTGAAATCTGCTGACATTACTTACAAGCACAAGGACAAACTGGTGCCTAAGTGCTTAAAAGGCTACGTCCGGATGATCCTGCATATTTACACAGCATCCATAAATATGTGCAATTAAGCTGAATGATATATTTGAGATTTCCCACTCAAAAAACTAAAAGAAAATGTCACAATTTTGAGTACAGATTTGTGCTTCTATTGCATGAGGAAGTGCAAGACATGCAATCTGAGAGCTAAAATAAACAAGGCTGAAACACATTTACCTTTCTGCCTAACTTTGTGATGAGAACAGTAAAGTCTCGTACGTGCACGTTAAAGCAGCTACTAATCTCTGTTGTATTCAGTTAGTGAGACTGAGTCTATGATGTTTTCTAAAATGCTTTAAGCTATTTCTACAGACGTAGTTTTCAGAATTTACTCTTCACAGAAGAAGTCTCCACATCAACATTCATCAATTACCACAGGCATACCTCCAAGTCACTGTCCGGAGGGGGTGATGGATTATTCTTCCGTCCTCTACCCCTAGACTTCGACCCAGAACTTCTACATGTTCTCTCATCAAGATCTTTAATTGGCGTGGAGGGGCTCTGCACTGTGTCAAATTCCCCTGTGAAGTCAACCATTCATGTAAAAATTAGTGCTGGATTTTTAAATATTTTTTTTTCTTTTCTCAAAGTTGGACATGTCTGTATGCAAAGTCAATGACAAGATACATGTAAAAAAAGCTGTAAAAAATGAGTGACAAGGTGGCTTGTCTTATGTAGATGGAATCAGCAGATGCCACATACACTTTTGACTTTACCAATGAAACATTCTAAACCCTAGCAGAATAAGATTAAAACGACACATATAAGCCTAGGTAAAATATCATCAAGGAAGTCACACTAATGGCTTCTCAAAACATGAAGTGCCTTTTACTTAGGTAGTTCATTTCCCATGTTTGAAGTTCAGCTAGACTTATTTCCTGCATTACTTTTACCAGAACACCCTCTGACACTCGTCCATGCCCCAGAACAGCCAGGCAGCTTCCCGCTTCATGTCCTCCTCCCATGTCACTACTCTCTAGCAGAATTCACTTTTTTTTCCACCTTACCTCTGCCTAAAAATTGGCAGAGGAAAGTCATATATTATATGCTTTATAAATGCAATATTTCAGTTAGTACTTGAAAGAGGATGAAGTTGTACCTGCTGTGTTCTGATCATCTTTTTCTCCAGGTATTGTGTGCTGGAAGGACTTTTCATCTGGTATGGCATATCTTGTCTTAATCATACTCAGGCCCTGATTTACTCATTTAATCTACTTTCTCTCTTATGGTAACAAAGGGCTTTAGAGGTGATCACAAACCAATAGCTATGTAAGACAGACTGACTGAAGAAGATATCTCCAGGAAGGATGGCACAGAACATCTCTTTACAAATCACTCGAATGCCACAGCTCAGTAAATGGAAAATATAAATTTTTCATAACACAGTGCCCCTTTAAAACTCGTAGCAATAAATGTAGGTTGGCTAGGTTCCCAAGTGCTAAATGACAAAAAAATATCTTTCATCCTTTATACTATAGATGATTTCAATTTTCTCCATTAAAGAAGGAAAGGGTACACCTTTGATCTGATACCTATTACAGAGTTTGATTCAAAACCTTGAGTTGCCTGTAATCACGCATTTCTGGAACACTTTGGTAATATTTGTTAAAAGTGCCCATGATGGCACATCTGCAGAATAAATTAACACTTGGTAAAAGCATTTCCCAAGAATCATCTATAATGAATCTGATTTTGAGCTGGAATCTAAATTTTTTTTTCATTTTTACTAAAGAGCATCACTCAGTGCCCAGTAGATGAAGGAGAGTGATTTTTCTGCTCTGCTCTGAACTTGCAAGACCATATCTGGAAAAATGCCTAGTTTAGGGTTCCCAAGTAGAAGGAAGATATTGGCAAACTGGAATTAGTCCAGGTAAGGGCCACCAAGTCAGTTAATGGGCTGAGCATGTAGTAAATGAGGCTAAGTGATTTTTTCTTAGAGGCACGCAGGGAAAGGACAAGACACACAGACAGAAATCACAGCAAGGGTTATTCCTATTAGATATTAGGAAAAATTCCTTCACTGTGAGAGTGTCAGGACCTGGGATGGGTTCCCAGCCAGTGAGGCTGTGCATTCTCAATCCCTGGAGATACTCAAAACTCCACTGGACACAGCCCTGAGCAACATGACCTAAGCTGGCTCGTCCATGAGCAGATAGGACCAAAAGACTCGCTGAGGTCCCTTCCAATGTGAATAACTGAATGTTTCTGTGATCTTCCTCAAGTCATTGACCTCTTTGCTTCTCCACAACAAAGAAAAAAACCAATTATGATCTAGCAGGCTCTAAGAAGAAAAAGGAGACTGAAGGTCTCAGCTGAGTCTGCAGTAACACATAATGTAACACGACAGTTGAATTCTTAATCTCTTCCATCATTTGTTTACACCTTGCAGTCAACCACATACAAAAGATACTAAAAATAAATATACTGGAAGATTTACATCTTGACTGGAAATATACTGGTGTATTTTTTGGAAGAAAAAGATTTAAGCCCATGATGTTACATTCCTGAATGGCAGCTCTAGAGCTCCAGACATTGTGATGAAAGTTCCAGATTCAAGGAAAGGAAGAATAAGAAGAAACTTAGTTCCTGAGCCTACTGGTTAGGATATTTACCTGAAGAAGAACATATCTAAGTTCTCTGGGGTACACTTGTTTATTTGACTGATTGATTTAAATGAAATATAAAGACTTATTTTCATGGCCCAGAATCCACAGCCCTGTATACATGTGGAAGGTGATGAATCCTCCATGAAATAGGAGGAAACCAGATTTGCCTCTCTCGCTTGCTCAGAAAGTGCTTCTCTGCTTGCAGAACAAACAGAGCAAAACTTTCAGACAGCAGTTAAGAAGAGATTTTTCAAAATTGCAATTTGAGAATTTATTCCAGATACCATTTTAGATAGCTCTGTCCTGAACTGGATAAGGATTATATGCATTCTATAGTAGTTTCTCTGTCAGTTAAAATTCTTATTTGCCAAAAAATGACAGGAAAATTAAGCAGCAATAATAATACCCAACAAAAAATGTTCTCATTGTGGTTTCTCTTGTTCCTACAGAATGAAGGGAGAGAGTTCTTGTTGAGTAATCATTTCTATTCCTAGTATGATGTTGATGTCAGTAAGGACACTGCAGGCAGTAAAGCAATCAATAAGATCATGTTATCTTAGTTCTTTCCCCATAAGAAGAACAGCAAAACGTATTTTGGTAAATGCAAAAATGTACAAAAAGAAGCTTCTTAACCAGGATCCTTGTGCAGCAAAGACCTACACTGGCTTCAAAAGAAGTTCTGAGTGTGCAAGAGTCCTGTACAAAAATAGTTTCCTAGATTTTTCAGACAGAGTGGAAAAATATCCCAAACCAAATCAGAAATGAAAAGGCAAAAATTAAGTGAAGATGGATGTTTACATTCTTACCAGAAAGTCTTCATTATTTATAACATTTCAACATTCTACAATAAAATCAAAACTCATTCTACAGTAATGTATTATAACATCTGTTCTCAATGACTGGGTTTATAAATAAAATACAAAAAAAGAAGCCCTGTTCTAAATCTTCTCTGAAAGTATCCAACAACCAAAGTAAATAACTTCAATTTTCATTTAGCATTAGCCATTACCAGTTGCCCCAGGCTTCTGTTTGGGTCAATGCTGTACATGTTTCCATAATTATCTACTAATTAGTATTGTAACTAATCATTGTTCCTTGTAAAGTCTAGATATTTAAAGCCAACTTTATTTCATTATGCTAATCTCTAAATCAGAATGAGCAGCTGTCTCTTACTTGAATGCAAGGTATGCATCTATTTTAGAACTGCAGAAGTCAGTAGTGCATGTTTTTTCAAACAACTGTAGGCTTAATTGCTTGAATTGCTTTTTACCAACAGCAGGCTCAAAGAGAAACTGCATTCTCTTATCTTCTGCTTTAGAAATGAGCTCAATACTGATAAAACGAAAACTTATTAAAAATTCAGCCATGTAACATAAAGAAATGTGAAAAATTCTAGTATCAAAGAGCACTGAAAACATTACCCTCATGAAGAGTTCCTACTGCAGCTCATATCAGAAGAAATTTTTATGACAATGTTTGAAATTTTTTAGCTTTTCCAAGATTCAACACATGCCTAATAAATACTACATAACCTCCTGGGCTACAAGCAGCATCGGGGATCCAACAAAACAAGAGGAAACTGTTAAAATCAGAATGTGGAATGACCGCTTTATCACAGATGTTCTTACACACATTCATACACTTGTTCATATCCAATAAGAAGCCTTTCATTCTGCGGAGACCTTGCAGCACTCCAGTTAGAGCATAGGGAGTTACAGAATCACCACTACAAATGGAGGTCGTCTTTCATATCCAGAATATTGTTTCCTGTCTCTGGTTTGATGTGAACATCCTCTACTCCTTGTTAAAACACAGTTCTACCACTTAAGCAGGAGAAAAGAGTTTATGCGGTGCATTTAAACCTAATGCCATCTCCCAGAGAATCTGCAAAGGGTGACTTCATTGTGGGTACCAAATTAAGAGAGAGTAAGCTTTGCTGCATCGCAGTAACCAAACAGGAGCTAATATCCTACAGTGATTGACCTCCCTTAACCCTGGACATATGAAAGTGAGATGCCTTAACATGAAGCTTTTATCCAGATCTATTTCCTCTGCTAGAGTTTTATTTGCCCTAGATTAAATGTACTTATGTATTCATCAAATGTACTCATATATACTTATCCCCTGAGACCTCATCTAGAGAGTTCATCTGAGTTATCCTTATTTGAGATGAAGTGCCCTAGGAGATACCTATTTCTCTCAAAAATGCTCTGTGGTAATGAGTGCATTTTTTAAAATCTTAATATAAAGCAGGTACAATACAAACTCAGAAGAGAAGCCTTGAGGCTTGAGCATCACACAGATGTGGGATGGATGAATTTCTGAGCCCCTTCATACTTTCCTTATGGATTGACTTTTGCTACATATTCTTGCCTGACACAGCAGACAGAAGATGGCTGCAACGTTACAAGCCTGGTTTGTTTTTTTTTCTGGCTTGTAATGTGTTATTGCTCATCATGAATAACAGAAAGAGTAAAGTCTATTTCAATTTTCATCTCATTTTCTTTACTTGGTCAATAAGTAAAATTGTAACGGTTATTAACTCTCGATCTGATGGGGATTTATTACAAAACTAGTACCCTCCTATCTGTTTGGAGGGTACTATAGGTTTTGATTAGATATTTGAATTAATAGTTACAAGATATGGTAGAAGAATGAAGTGCCTTGCTGTGTTTAGTCTTAGGTTTTAGCTGGAGTAAGTCTTAAGGACTTAAGGTCTGTTAGACAGTAAGTGAACATGGTGAGTGCTAAAGATCTACAGTATCTGAAATGGTCTCCAAGACACTGTACCTCACCAATGGAAACATATTTTTACAGTGATACAGAAGTGCATAGGCATGACATGCATTCACAAAGTGGGCGTTTCACTCTCAGCAGAGGGTCGCATGATCAGTGCAACACTCAACAGAAATAAGGAACAGATGGGGGTGGATTTGTTAAATTCAGATGAACAATCTACTTAAAAAGAAAGCAAATTCCTATGTTTAAACAATCTACAACCAAGAAAAATCTTTAATGTTTCACAGACGTGAAGCCTTCGGTAATTTTTCAACCTGTTCAAATTCTGTAAGATTCCTTTTTTGCCAATTCTCTTCAATACTTACGGTGTTCATAATAGATGATAAATTTACACAGCATTTTTAGGAAACAGAGATACATAAGGGAGCTGCAATGTGGGAAACTGATTTTCTCAAATGAGAATATGAAGGAATAATAAAGAAACAAGGAAAAGTACATAGGACATGCACAATTATTAAAACACTTCATTTGTATCTGTTATAGATATTCTCCAACTGTTGAAATTTCATTTGATTTTGCATTACCTCTTAACTTTTTCTTCCTAAATTTACATTCTGAGACAACCAAATAATATATTACACTTTTCATAAAAAATCAAGGGAATGTGTATCTCCCCATAGCTATTCCATACCATATCCATATCCATATCCATATCCATATCCATAGGATACCACACCACACACCAAACACACACACACATGCACACACTTGGAGTTTAAAAATCAGCCTGAGGAAAACATCTGGGTAGGAAAAATTTCAACTCATGCAATTAAAGTTCCAACACTTTTAGTAAATTTAAGCAGCTTAAATTAAGTATGAGGCCTTGCTTATACTTTTCTACACAGTGTTACCTTTCCTTTGTACCCATTCATTATAATGATATTCTACTGTACTTATCAATAAGATGGTGCAGTTGTTGGAAAAATTTATGCAGTAAGTTGATTTTGTGACTAAAGCACAAATTCCTCCCCTACGCAGAGCTGAATCCAAAAGTCAGTTTGTTAGTCTTTTAAGCTGGAAGTCAGCTTAAAGAAGACAGAAGTTCTCTATCAACTGGCACCTCAGGAAGTCTTCCATCATCCCCATATCACCATTGGCCAGTCAGAGCTCAAATCAGTCCAGCAGTTTAACTACCTAGGCAGCCTCATCTCCTCGGATGGTAAGATTGACGGAGAGATAGACAACAGGTTAGCAAAGGAATATAGTGCCTTCAGAAAGCTTCATAAAAGAGTTTGGCGAAATAAACACTTGAAGAAAAGTATAAAGATCAGTGTTTACAGAGCCATAGTGCTGTCTACTCTCTTATATGGATCTGAATCATGGGTCATCTACCGCCACCACCTGTGTCTCTTAGAACGCTTCCATCAACGTTGCCTCTGTACAATCCTAAATATCCACTGGTCAGATTATGTGACTAACATGTCTGTTCTAGAACAAGCAGCAGTCACAAGTATTGAGACTGTTGCTGAGAACACAGCTGCGCTGGGCGGGGCAGGTCTCCAGGATGAAGGACCACCGCCTCCCCAAGATCTTGCTTTATGGTGAACTTGCCACTGGCTGCCGCAAGAGAGGAGCCCCAAAGAGAAGATACAAGGACTCCCTGAAACAACATCTCAGCCTTGGCCATATTGATCAACACAACTGGTCTTCTCTGGCCTCCAATCGGGAGGCCTGGAGACACATCATCTATAACGCTGCTGATGCTTTTGAGAAAGCACGCAGGATCCCTCTCGAGTTAAAAAGACAACACAGAAAGATTCGTGCCTTGCAGAATATACCACCTAAGGAGTCTTTCTGCTGTGCCTTTTGCAATCAGATATGTCTATCTCGTATTGGCCTTTTTAGCCACCAGCACGCCTGTAACAAATGTGGGTAGAGCCCTTCCCAAATCTTCGTTTGCGAAGCCTAGCCATGAAAAAAGAAAAAAAAAAAAGTCTTTTTAGAAATGCTCCCAGTCTGTGGGTAAGGGAGACACTACCCATGCTGCCTGAGTGAAGCCAGTGAAGCGAAGAAGCCCTGGAAGACGCTGCTCTGAGTGCTGAGGAAAAATGAACTGTCATTACCCACCAGGGGTGTCCTAAGAATACAAGTAACAGGCTACTGTGCTGCGGCTGTGATGTGGTGGCTGTGCACAAGAGGGCAGGGCTGGGCAGGCAAAGGGAGCCTCCTTGTGTCTCCTGAGAATGCTCTTTTTGTAAGTTAGACTAGTTAAATATAATTTTTTTTTAAAGAGACTTGTGCTACTAACCTATTTCTCTATTCTTTGTTACCTAAATTAGTGAATTAACACGCATAGATGGCTTGTACACATTTGAATAAAGCCCAGCCATGCTCTTGCTAGCATGGCTGGGGCATAGTTAAAAGAACAATGGTATCTTGTGTTAAATTCTTTACAGCTATACTTCAGAATGTGTAGATGGAAACAGGAATGTCCCGCTGTCAGTAATAGTGACAACCATCTCAGTCTGAAAACACTTCATTTAACTAGCAAACATGACAGGTTTCCTAACTATACAGTAAAAAACTTATTTTGTCTGGTTTACATTGTGAAGTTTTCTGAAAGGTATGACTTAAAATGTCAATATTCAAACAAGGCATTCAATCAATGTAAGGTGGATGTGAAAATCCCGTCTTTATACAAGTAGAGAATAAAACAAAAAAATTGTTTTCACCTGAATGTAGATCTGTACCTGGTTGACTAGTCAAGCCAGGGAGAGAGTCCTGTAACTGGTAAGTTGATGATGATGATGAAGTGCCATCAGCCGTGTTGTTTGAGGTCATATATGTACCATATGTTGATGCTGAGTAATACTGTGCATATTGATTTTGGCCAAAAGCTGTGTATGATGGATAATCCTAAAACAGTAAATGCAGCAGAGCACTTAATTAAGTACAGTAATGAATGATTTTTTCCATTAAGTATTTCTAAATGTACAATCACATGACTTTTTCAAGTATTCTGAAGGCTTGGTTAGCACTTTTTTTAATTTAAGAATATTTAATGTTTTTTAATTTAAGGATATTTGCTAAAAAACTACAGTGAGATTGATGAAATATTTAAATGCCACAAGGCTTCCAGTGAGATTTTGATCACTTTCCACAGAAAACAGCACTGAACCACAGTGAATGTCATTCGACATAACAGACCTAAGTTAAAGTAACATGCTATAATTGGAGTGATGTAAGTCCTCTCATAACTGGCAAATAAAAATTCATACCTGTTGTGAACTACTGAAGTTTGTGGAATTCGAAACAGAATTGTTTGAGTAAATAGTGGACGACGGTGTAAAACTAGAACCTAAGATTAAAAAATTCAATTAACTGTGAGAATTTGCTTGTGAATCAAAATAAAATTCTAAATAGAATACTCCATGTTAAGATGTAAAAGAATCAGAAGAAAAAAACAACTTTTATTTACTGGTAAAATAATAAAACATTGTAATGAAACTTTAACAGAAATGAAATGCTAATTCCATACATACAGGTATACATTTCTCTTCACACCATGAAAGGAAGATATTAGCAGTAAGCCATCTCACTGATCTAGAAAGCATTTTTCAATTTATTGCAGTGTCTCATCTCTCCTAAAATGCTTTTTTCTCTTTTGTTTTGATTTCTAACACTTTGGTGTTACATTCACAAAACAAAATCTTTTCAAAGACTATTTAATGATTGATGTGTAATGAGACATCATTACACATTACATGTGTAAATCAATCTGTAATGAGACATGTCCTTGTTTTCAACATAAATCAGATATTCAAACTGTAATTTGTAATATTCAAAACATTAACTGTTGTACAAGAAGCCTAAAAATTATCCAAAGAAAACATGTTATCAGTGATCAGAGGGTAATAAGTAAATAACTAAATGAATAGTAAATGAAAGAATAAATATGAATTAAGGAGAAATCCTAAAAAGTTATGTTAACCCAAGTATCAAATTATGTCATACTCAGAAACATGGAAATAAGGCAAAGTGACTTGTTTATGTTAATAAATATAACAAATGCTTCCAGTCCTGCCATGTAATTTTTTACCCCACAAAAAAAACCAAAACAAAAAAGGTGCAAATAGGGACTGTATTGCATGACCAGATCCAAACTAACTTATCAAAATGAACACACATATCCATATTAGTAATGGAAAGAAATACTTAGCTTTAAATTTTGGAGTTGGCTACTCACCTGGCATCTGATAAGAGTAGGGTGTTTGGCCTGGCTGTGGGGTCGAAAACCCCGGGCTGTAACTGAGGCACCCGCTCTGCAGTGGTGATTGGGTCTGCGAGAGCCCACTTTCTGTCTTGATGCCTGGCAACATTACACCCAAATCTGTATAAGAAATTAATTTTCAACTGATTCTTTAAAATATTTTCTTACAGTCGGGAAAAATAAAACAGAAAGCAAAAAACACTCAAGTTGGCAATGCTTTTTATTCTACATAAAGTAAAGTAATAAGAGGCCAAATACCGTAAGTGGGTAAGCTGTAGGGCTGTCCTGTCTGTGAGTAGGCTGTATAGACCGCGGGTTGCTGCATTCCTGAATACTGGGTTTGTCCGGCATAGGCAGACATTGTTTGAGCTGCTGGTGTAGAAAGAATGTGTGGATAGGGCCTAAATATCAGGAAAAATAGCATTACTGTGGCAACAAATACTTTGTATGTTGATTCAAGCAATAAAGTAAAGCAAAAGGTTTAAAGACGTCCAAAGGCAGTTCATTATTCTGCCAACTGCTCCTCTTCTGGGATTTGTTCCATCCCCCACTGAAATAAGCTGAAAAACACTCTGTCTCACATTCCCCAAGGCACAGTGAATATTTTGTGCCATCCCATCACTACAATTTAATTCTTAAGCTACTGTGTCCACTTCGAAGTGGGCCCTGACACTGCTGCACAGCTTTATATGGATTTGACCCCTTTCAGCCAAGATCAGAACGCTTAAATTAGAAAAGCCCCCACGCTTTTTTAATCCAGTGGAGGGAAATTTGGACTAGAAGAATAAAGAAAATACAGAGGTGAATGCTGAAGCTAGTACATTATGTCATCTTTGTAGGTTCTGCTTCAACAGACATCTAGCCTCTAGCTTCAATGGGAGATGGATCATACATATTAAGAGGCGTACAAAAAATATTGACAGCAATACTTTGGTAACCAGATGGGCTTTAAATGTTTGGAAAATATAGGCTAGGGAAACAGAATGGAAACATAAATGGTCTTTATTTATGAATACTAGGGTTTTATAGAGAGATTGAATAAAACCAAGTTTAAAATTTTTGCCCTCTAGAGTTGCAAAAATATACAGAGAAACATTTTTCTTGGATTGTTTTGTAAGTCAAATGAGACTTTATGGACCAAGAGTTGAATAAACACACTCTGTAGAATTACGCTGAAACCTGGCCATTAAAAGCCATGACTAAATTTCAGATTCTAATTTTTAATTTTTTTTTCTTTCTAATTAGTTCAGTACAGTTGGCAGCTTTTACTATCAGAAAAGGATTGCTCATTGATTTATATGCCAAAAAATTGTAACAGTAGATTTAAAAATTCTATTAAATTTTGTAATGTATATGGTCAAGAATATCTATTATAGTTTGCCAAAACCTGTTTTAAGTGGAATGAGGGCTCTTTGTTCAGGCACCTACTTTCCATATTAATAAATATTGGCTACCATCATACTAATACAAATTTGGAAAAAACCCCCAAAACTTGAAAAAGCCTAATCAACTACAATGTCAGTGTTTTCTCTGTATCAGTCACACAGGTAGCTGTGTCCTGTATCAAATACATGGAAACAAATAGATGGCATACTGGAATCAAGTACCCTTGTGCACAGCACTGATCATAGGACAAGCAAACTAACAGACTGCCAGCAGCAGTAGTTTCATCTTCTGTGAACATCTTCTGTGTTTTTTCCTAATATTTGCACTCCTGGATTCATGTGATTGTCCAAAACCCTGTTTTCCTCAACAAAAAAAAAACCAACAAAAACGAACCCCCCAAACAAACAAACAAACAACAACAAAACAAAAGCCAAGAACAAACAAACAAACAAACAAAACAAACAAACAAACAAAAAGAAAGAAATTTTCTATTCCTATCACCTGATGGCTTAAAAATAATGAGATTAAATTGACTTCTTAAAAATATTTCTGTATATATTCCTAGTACTGTTAATATGCTGATGTCCAATAACGTAATAGTCTCGTTTTTTTCCTTCTATTGTGTGCAGATATTCAAGGCTATTTCTTGTGCAGCAATACTGCGCAAAGCAGGATCTTACTCTGCAGACAAATGAGGAAAAAAAGTTGGAGAGGGAGCCAGTACTGTGGCTTAAGAATTTTCCTTTTTCTCTGTTTCTTCTGCTGATGAACACTTGTTTGCAACAAACCACAGAACTGCCTACAGCCAAGGTCAATTCCCTGTAAAAGACTAGAAGAGGTGCAGACACTAACTTGGAGGGATATATTTGCGGAGAGTACTGGTGCGCCGATCTTGGACTGTAGCCACTACTTGTTATTACTGCAAAATAGAAAACAAGAGTAGCAGTTAGAAACACCATGAGACCGATACATCCAAACAGTGTGAACACTAATGCAGCAGCACTAACAGAGAAGCTTACTGAAATACACAGCTTTTCAAGGAAGCAGATGTCCCTTGAACTGCAACATCTTAATAAAAAAAACCCAAAACTGTAAATCATCATTGCTGTGCAGAACCCTCTAGTTAGCATGGGGGTGTTGTGCTTTTTCAGCTTGACTGACACGTTTCTGAGTATACTGCAGAGGTATGTATTTCATACATCATCTGTGATCCACACACCATAGATCCTTTAAATTTGCAAGCTGCATTAAAAGGGATAGTTAAAAAGAAGCTTGTGATTTAACATATGATATTGAGATAACATAGATATATCTTTAAAGGCTCACATTAACAAGTTCAATTTTAATACTGGATGGAAAAGCATGTTTTATATGGCTGTTGCTAATTTTAGTCAGCTTAGGAAGACACTGGGCTGATCACGAGAAAGCAAATATCATTCTTTATTAACAGGCAGATTAGAATACATTCACTAACAACAATATTTTTACTGTGAAGTATGGATGAACAGTCTTGTTCAGTAGCCATCCAAATTGTGTATTTCTATACTATTCACAGCTGCATTCTTCCAAGAAAGCTAACAGAACAATAGTCATAACCAATTAAAATTTCATTCAGAAGCGATGCTCACACTGGATTAATTCCAAGTGTTTGGAAGTTTCTCTTTCCCTTAGCCATCTGTCTTGACTAAGACAGATGTATTCCAAATATACGTACTCTAAAGTGTTGAACCAATCCCTTCAGAGCAAATCCATACTGGGCAAACATACAGAGTGTCTTTATTAGGCCATCTGCTGTTCATTCACTTTTCAAAAGATTAAAGTAGTACACAACGAAGCACTGGAATTTCTTTAGTCTAATCAATCATAGTTGTACTTCAAAGTGTACCCTCTTCCTGAGTTATTCGTAATGGTAGTAGAAATGAACATTCAGAATTATATAAGTGACAAATAGGTTTAGGTTCCTAACTATTTTATGAAACATGATATATTTCTACATCCAGGCCTAATTAACGTCTTTCAGATCTACTGCTGTGAACATATGCAGAGCTTGATATTTTTAAAGCTAGTTTAAATGCATTTAGAATGCATAGGACTTAAAAGGAAAATACAGTGGAAGAAAAACAATTAACTTCTTTTTAAAATGTGCAGTTGAGTATGGCTTGAAAGTGAAGAAGAACTGGATAATAACTTTTAAAGCATGTGCCATCAGATTTCACGAAAGAGTTGCTGTTTGAAAAGGTATTGAGGGTTTGCCCATGATGGAAATCTGCTAAATTTCATTTTGTGTGGTTATTCTTTTTTTTTTTTTTGAGAATGCCTTTCCATAGTTTAAGCTCAACTCACAGAATGATCCGCTACATGTGCAGGCAGCTATTCCCAGAGCTAGACAAACCTATAGCTGCATCTATCAACATAGAACTCTAAAGGATGCTCTTAGTTATTTAAGGTTCAAAGAGCAATTACTCTCCCTTTCGTATCTCTGTGACCTTTCTAAAGTCAAGCAATAGCTAATAGAGTGACCTTGGTGATTCTCAGGGCAAGGAACTTTTGTGATCCATTATTGGCTTGTTGGATCACTTTTGCCCATACTGCTCCACTTTTTGTCTGATCATTTGCTGTATAAGAGTTCACTTGAATAATCAGTTTGGTTAAAGTACATTTACCACGCCACCACACCCTATATAAACTACAAAAGAAATTAATTACTATTAATTTAGATCACTTGAGCTATCAAAACCTAATGTTTTTTTAAAAAAAAACCTGTCCCACCTGTTATTTTTTTTTCTGCAAAATAAAATACTTTTGGAATATGTCTGGTTTTAAATTTTCCTTTTCTTTCTTTTTTTCCAATTTTCCCAATGATACTGCCAGTTGTAAGGAAGAAAAAGAGGTAAGACTAAAAAAATCTGTTTTTTTCACTCTTTCTCTGTAGTTTGTCCCAGCAATTTGTGTACTACATTTTACACTATAAGGTGTTTGAGAAACACAGGGTGTAAGGCCTACCATAAGAGAACATTATGACTGAGTGGAGTCTGTGGACTTCATCTGTATCTCATAGATCAAACTAGTAACTCAAAGGGTTATCAAACTTAACTTTGACTACCTCCTAACCCTACTTCTGAGGACTGGTGGAAATGGAGGAGATGGTGAAGGCTGGTTGTTGTGGGTTTTCTAACTGTGCCACTGTAAATAGCCATTTAAATGAATGGGGCTAAATGCTGGTTTGTGTTACTTATATTAAAACAACAAAAACCCACCAAAATTGTTTCTTCTCTGAAAAAGTCAAATATTCCTAAGCTTTTACTATTTGAATTTATCAGAGGAATGTTTTTCAGGGCAGGTATAAGACCCTTGATCTCTCTAGTTCCCCTATGGCACTGAGGGCATATTGCACTCCCCAGTAGCATTGTTTCACAGAGGGGACAAGAAGGCTGACAGCCAGCCCTTACCAGTAACTCTCTCAGATCAACTGGCCAAGGTGACTGTGGGGGATTTAAATGACCATTAACTGTTTAAATAACATGTCTTGGGTTCAGTATATTAACATATGTTGGAGTTTTGTATTTTTTCATTACACATCTGGAAAATTCCATGTAAAAAAGTTAGGTTAAAAGGATCTCACTTAAATAACATCACAATCTCTATGCACAAGTCAACCAAATGTTGGTTAAACAGCAGTTAAACAGACATTTCCTAACTTCACCTTTATAGCCTTCAGGAACTGTTTTCTATATCCTTTTTTTTGTGTAATAAATCCTAAGTAAAAAGGATAATGAGATCAACAAGTATCTTTCTCTCCACTCCATTAAAATAACAGTTCTTAAATTAAATCCACTATTGTAAGCAATATATACACAAGAATGCATGCACTCACAGTATAGCAGCTGCAACAAATTCACAGTGTATGAAAATCTCAGTTCAAGGCTGTGCACCTCCCCATATCCTGTGAATGCTACCCCGGTGGGAGTCTACTGAAGAACCACAAAGCTTCAAACCGAGTACACTGATATTATTTACCAAATGTTCTTCTTTGAAGAAAAAGGAGGAGGAAGGGGGATGCACAGTGCAACTCCTCACCTGGCTAACCCATGCTAAGAGGGTTGGCATGGATTCTCCCAGGGGCAGCTCTGCAGGACAGGGGAACTGCAGCCCTGATTGTGAGCTGCAACACCTGAACTGTAGCCCTGAGCAGGAGCATGCCCAGTCCCAATGGCCTGGCCACGACCACTAGGGCAACTATCACTCCAACTTCAAGAGACCTACTACACACTTTATCTTTCTGACTTTTCAATCAACAGAATCACAGTTTTCTGTGGAGTCTAATCTGTCTCTCCAACCCTATACCTCACACACCCTGACCAACACTTTCTGTGTTACAGCTGGTCATTAGGGACAGAGCTGATTACTTTACACCCCACAGGGCTTGTTCAGCCTTCTGCTTAGTTCCAGGACAAGTCACATGTTTTGACTGCCCTTGGAGCATGAAAATCAATTTTAATGGGTAGAGTATTTGAAAGAGAGGATTTCTGCATGGCAGAGTCTCAGTTCCAGGAGTTCTCTTTTCATCCATGTCTGATGTCATAAAATATTTAAGAATACACGTAAATCCTTCCCTACTCAACGAAGAACACTTGAGTGCTTCTGACCAATGCTTGTACAAGACAGAGTAGATAACAGCAGCCTATGTGTCTGTGCATCCTCACAAAATGAGCACACGGGTCCTCTGAGAGCTGCAGGAAAGTACGAGCATTATCACTTTGTCATAGTTGGGAATAACACACGTATGTACCTGATTGTAAAGAAAAACCAAACTGTTCAGTGTTGGGCTTTGTTATGCATTGCAGCTGGCTCATCTGAACTGATATCTGCCTACTAGTCAGTATTTACTGTCTTTGGCAACCCATGAAACTTCTCGAATAACCAGTTAGGTTAAAAAATCAAGAGAAATACTGGTTTTGTTGAGTTTTTATTGTTCTTTAGCACTTCTCCCACAAACCTAGAGTCAATGAAATTGTCCAATTTGCAAGTACCAATAAAAGGTAAGTGTGAAAGTAAAGCATTCAATCTTTATGAAAGGCTCGGTGCATTGTCAAGGCAGATCTGCGCCTCGCTCTGATGATGAAGACTGCACGTCACCCAGACAGGCAGACTATCGATTTCCCACTGCGAATGACTGTACTCATTTAATGCTTGAGCTTGTGGACTAAATTGAGAATCAGGTTCATATTTCTTTTGAGTATGCAGGTGGCTTAACAGGCAAAAAAGGACTGTGCAAGGCTCAAATTCCTGTCTTTTTTTTTTTTTCTGGAGGCACCAACTTTTCAAACATCCAAAGTGTAGAGATCTCAGCACTTCTTTGAAGTCAGCAGAAGCTGATGGGTGAGTGACACCTGGGAAAATCAGGCTGTTACTTAACTATCTAAACTCGAACTGGAGGCTGCAATTTTTAGTACCCCAACGTTGCCTTAGCCATCTTTTACACACGGAATATAACTCAGTTGCCTTACATACATGGCAGAAGCTGATAAAATTTCACTGACAATGACAAAATCATATATGTGGTTGGACATTTTATAATCTGTTTTCATTTTTTCTAATCAGAAACAGTATACACTTGCTTTAAATCTCACTAATGACCTTTTCTTCAAGCATTATATTTGCTATAAATATTTTTTAGAATAATCAACTTTGGAGTATAGCTGATGCCTACAAGACAATTCCAGAAACATACACTCATTTTAAAACAAATTTAATTACACAGAAACACTGTGATTTCCAAAATATTTTATATATGGTTTGACTACCTAAGTCTACCAAAGTAATAGCATCAGTGTGAGTGGTGATTCCTGGCTTCATGGACATTTCAGTCGAGCATTACTGAACTGGTATTTTCAGATGTAAAATTTACTCTCCCTCCTCTCCTTGTTAACATTATTAGCAGGATTCAACTTAATGATTCGAAGGCAGATTATCTGTACTTTTCCACAGTTCATCACATTTTAGTAATTTATAGGGATATACTTAAAAAGTGATGTTTGTTTGATTTTTTTAAGAAGTAATTGAACCTTATGATTATTTAAAGCAAAATATAAACTTCGATTTCAAGGAAAGAAAGTAGCTCACTGTAATGGAAAGAAAGTAATTTATGGTAATCTGGTCAGCATTTGTACAAACACACTGTTCATAGGAGTAAAACAATTAGCAATGAGACATAACCCTTAAGATTTTATATTTTACAAATTAGCATGGCTGTTACAAATACAATCCATTTTTCCTCCCAGGATCATACACGACTAACCCTGAGAAAAAACTCTACAGTACTACAATAACAGTATTGCTATAAGATTTTTGCATACAACAATCGTCTTAGGAATCATGAAAGCTTCATTAAGATCCCACCTCATGTAAACTGCAGAGCTGCACTTACAAAAATGAAAAAGTTATTATTATTTTTATTATTAGGTATTAAAATGTTACTTTATTGTAGCTTTTTAAAAATTGCTTCCATGCAGCGAAATGTTCAATAGTGAATGTTATTAAATGCTACAATAATGCGCATCTAACAAAACGTGATCTTATTATGGCTTTACCTGACCCAGTAAAAGTGTCAAGCGATCCATCTCCAGTTGTTGTTGCTGTTTCACTGTTGTTCATGGGTTCTGTTTTGACTGCAAGAAGAGACACTACATAGAAGAATAAGTAGACATGAAATTTTACTTCTAAATTTGTACTGGAGTCCTCATACCAGTCGCACTAGCGGTAGTCCAGCTAGAACAAGCATGCATGCAACAGCTTTAGCCTTTGCTCTATCACCAAATTGAGACAATCTATACCAGCTCTGTCTGGAATGGACATGCATAGCTTTTCATCTGTCTATTTGTCTAGCTATTGGTCTTAGCACTTGGAATATCTTCTGGGGAGATTTCAACCTACATTTAATTGATTCTAACAATTCCCTAAGAGTAGCAGAGAGGAAGGAAACATTAGCTGTCAAGGGATGTAGCACATAACAAAAATAGTTTTGCCTGACAAGTAAAACAATTATAATATGGTTTCATGCTCATATAGAAGCAAATTACTTTCACAGTGCCAGCATGTTGCCTTTCCCCTTCCCCTTTTACAGAGTCTGTGGGGGCCTTTTTGAGCTAGGTTACCAGCAAGCAATTTTCCATAAAGGAAGAGAGAAGTTTGAAAGAAAAAAAAAGCCAAAGAACTAGAGTAGGACACAAAAGGTAGCCACAAGTCAGCTTCTAAGTCAGAGGTTACCAAACATTTGGGTCCACTCTAAACTCAAATTACTTCTTACAGATCATCATGTGGTCTTAATATCCAAGTTATAACTGAAAGCACCACAGAAGCAATACAGATTTTATAGTTAATATGTTACCTGGACAGAACATTTGGCATGGACTTTTGTAATGGAGTTTGGGAACCACCACATCTAATTGATGTGGTAAGAAACAGCAGTACAGAATACACTGCAGCTTTTAACAGCTGCCTGACTGACAGATATGGAAACCCTCGACATATTATAATTTCTTTGTGAAGGTCAATTAGGGTTGGGCATGAACATTCATCACATATATATCAGCAACATGCTTACAGATATCACAGGACTGGTAGGTGCCCAGGGACACAGAGAGAAGTCACAATGAGGAGCTGCACAGGCTACTGCCACAGTTGTATGCCAGGTATTGAAATTCCGAGTACACAGTCTGGGATTTGTGAAGAACCCTTGCTGTGACAGCTGGGCTGGCAGAGTCCCCTCAGCAGGTCTAACACATGCCAAGGAAAGGTGTTTTCTGCCAGCTGGTTACCTGATGCTTCTGAGGGGCATCAGCTAAGCTGACCAAAGCTCTCATCTGTCAACATCACTGCATCCATATTTGACTTCACTGGCAGCAGTATGGGAAAGGCGAGAATTTCATGTTCTGAGCTGGTAGTATATTTAAAAACTATGGCTCAGATTCAAGTTACCTAACTTAAGCATATAAAAGGTGCCTGCTAATCTCCCTTCATGTTTAGTTGAGACATAGGGGTGCTTCCAGAGGTTGATTTACTCCATGAACACCCTGAGCTGCCCTCAAGTTCACCATCCCTCTTACAGTCTGTAGAGGAAAAGGTAGTGGATGAGCTAAATAAAGGATTTTGTTTTCTCATGGGGAGAAGGTCCAGAACCCGCAGATCCATTCTGCTACTCTTGCTCATGTCTGTGAGCACAGCAAGCTGTTCATTGGGAACTGCACAGCTACCAATACAGCTGCTGTGATGAGCCCTGCATGAGCTACCTCTCCTACAAAATCACATCCCATTTCCAGTCACACTGCTTAATGGACCTTACTTCAGTAAGTCATGTGGGATGCTACTGACATCTACAACTGGACAACTGACCTACACCTGTTTAGATCAAGCAGATGAATTGGGATATATCTGTCCCTGAGACAGGGAGAATGCCCTGCCACATTGGTGGTGCCCTAGTGCCAATCAAACTAAGTAGCATCTTCTTGCTTAAGCTGTATCTTTAAAAAATATTTGAATGTTTGTCTTTTGAAAGTAAACTTCTTTTCATTACTGTTTTTCTTTAGTAAAACTACCACACTCATATAGTCTCCCTGCAAGCAGGAGGATATTAACTCAATATGGCATCATCAGGGAAGAATTATAACCGCATTTTTTCAAGCTGTTGTGCACTCCTTCTCATTCTGCTAGCTATTATCTTCTCATTAAAAAAAAAAAAAAGCTGTGACAAAATTACCCAAAATGAACAAAGTCATTCATAAGAGTAATCCATCATTCCCATTTCTATATTTATATGAGAAAGATGTGATTTTATTTTTGTCAGATCAATTAAACACAAATCAAGAAAAAGCTTAAGTGTCATTTGTCACAAAATTATTTCCTCCATTGAACCTCTCAGTTATATGGAACATGTACGGTTGCCTGAAGCATGAAAAGTAATTAAATTTATTTTCTGATTATTACGTATGGGTGCCTTCATGTACTTCTGCAAAGTGTGGACACCTACCCACATGAAAAAAAGTACTTTTTAGTACCTTTATCTCTTTCTATTCAAGATGGGCACTATTGCCCATACCAAGCTACAAACCTACGTTGAGTACTGCATTTAGAAAGACAGTATGTGTTTAACTGTTATATTTAACAAAAGCTTCAGTAATGAATTTAAATGTTTACTTTAGAATTGTGTCTAGTTCTGGTTAATGCCAGCTGCAGTGCACTTCCATCAGCACCAAGAGGCACCATCTATTTTCTGTCCCTGTCAAGCAGCAAAGAATCAAAACAAAAAACCTCTCTCCTGCACTTAACTTGAGGAAAAACATTATATTGGCACTGTGTTTTGTTGAAAAATACATGTAAAAAGTATTTTTATATGCGCTTGATTTTAAACAGTTCTACTTTGTTGCACTCAGATTTTATGACAGTAAGGTTCTGATACTACTATGGTAACTATCCTAGATATAATGCAGACACTACAAGTTTTAACCAGCATTTTGGATGAATACTTTAAAGACTATACATTTAATATTCTATTTTTAAAGTGTTGATTAGTTTTACTTCTAGTTTTTTTGGGGTTTTTTATGTTGTTGTTGTTGTTTTTTTTTTTTGCATATTGAAACTGTAAAAATAAAATGAAAAGCAATCTCTAACTGGAAATACATTTCAGTGCTGCTAACAGTGAAGACTGCATGTGTCCTGTTTCTGGTTGGGACAGAGCAAGTGGCTCTGTGGGGCTTAGCTGCCAGCTGGGCTAAAACCATGATGCGCTAATAGGGTAGAGCTAACACCATCATCAGGTGCAGGGGCATATGATGGACAAGGAGATAGAAGAAGCTGGTTTTTTTCTGTCCTACGAAGAGGGGGCTGAGGTGAGAGCTCATTGCTGCCTGCAGCTATTAGGAAGGTTCAAAGATGACAAAGGTACACTCATCTCAAAAGGTGTCCTGGGAAACAACAGGTAGAAACAGACACAAGCTGTACTAAGGGAAAAATTCAATTAGATGTAAGAGGAAAATTTTTACCATGAGCATAATCAAGCCATGGGACAGGTGCCTAGGGAGGCTGTGGCACCTACTCCTTGGAGACACTCAACACTCAACTAGACACTGCCTTAAGCAACATGATCTAACAGCAAAGTTGGCCCTGCTCCGAGCAGTGTTTGGCCCAACTGACCTCCAGGAATCTCATCCAAACTTCATTATTCTAAGACTAACTCAGAATACAGCTCCCAGCAGGCGACAGCTTCTATAATATACAGTCTTTACTTGAAGAAAGGACTTAGCAGACCAAAACGACTATTAATCTGATGGCCTCTTTTTTTTCCCCAAAGAGTCCCTCTATCTTAAGATCTGAAAATGAATGCAGAGTTTTAGGGGCAAGAGGTGCTACTACTATGCATGAGGCAGGACAAGCAAGTGCAATAGCTGTGATAGCAGTATAAGTCTGATTAAAATATTAGTACTTAAATTATTATTTTCCACATTCATCTGAATGTACTGAACAGTTAACTGAGGTGACAGACTAAGTTAGCTCAGTCCTTCCTTAAACTTAACTTCTTGTAATTGAGCAGAAACATTCACATGGAATGAGTTATTCTAGTGCAAATGATCTTTTGTACTCAAGTCAATTTTTTTTCTGGTAAATTTTCTGTGGATGTGTTTTACAAAACGCAAGCTAATTCAGAGGGTTTCTTTTAAAAGGAAAGGTTTTGAGATCTTCCTAACTTTAGTCCAAAACTGCACAACTTAAGCACCTTTGTAATGACTTGTAGAGAAACGCAGTGATGCACATTTACAGATATGATTAATCCTGTATGTACTGCAACAGTGTCACATACAGAATTATTATTAATCATTACAACTCATGACAATTACTAATACATCTCAGTAAATACTCGTAAATGACAACAACAGCTTGGAAAATTTAGCCAAATGTTTGTAAAGTTGCAAGCTACATGTAGTAGCACAGTAGACATAAGCTTTGATTAATAATTAGTATTGTAGTAGAATAGTAACAATAACATCAACCAATAATGCTCAGGTAATCATGCAATGCTGTACTTAAAAACAAAAGAAAAGTAAATGGGCATTCTGTGAAAATTCCACTGGTCTGACTTCCACTAATGTTGACTACTGGCTATTCCCAGCAATGTTGAACACCACGAGACAATCCCAGCCTCTCAGAGCATGTAGACAGTTAAGCTAATTATAAGTGGGTTAAGTTCTCCTTGCTCATCAAATTACTTTCAAAGCACTGTAAGATAACTATTTATTGCAACTTCCTACCAGTTTCCTGGTTGTGGGAAAAGCCTTTTAGAAGGGGTAGGAAAAAAAGGACTGGGAAGAAAACCCCACGAGAATGTTCAAATGGCATAACAAAAGAACAGAGCAAACCAAGAGAGATGTCACACAGCAGTCACAGAGACACACCACCACACACCACCACACACATGCACTGTACCAGGGTCTCTCATACTTGTGGCAGAGGAGGGAGTACTACAACTCAGCAACCAGTCTGCAGTATTTAACACAGTCATGTTGTCTCCTGTTGAGAACAGGAATGGTATAGCAGTTCATTCTCCCAATGTCTGTTCAGTGTACCTGAGAAGTCCTCAAAGCAATTAAGTGCCTTAAGTCTTTTAACTGCACTGTATTGTTTTTATGGGTATTATTTTAACTGGTTTATTTATGCATGTATAATATAGAGGCATCTAGTTATTCGAGTTCTCTAATGGTATGTTTGAAGTTTTCTCTTTTTTTGCTGGAATAAGTATTCTACTTAAAAATGTGGTTCAAGCCTTCTTTGCAGAGCTCTGTTACTCTCACAAGCACATACACTTTTTACTCACACTGACAGACTTTTTTTAAAATAGGGATAAATGAATAAAATGCTCTACATTGTGGTCAGAAAGAACAAACAAACAAAAAATTTTCCTAGAGTAAATTGTTAAAATAGATGGCAATGTATAAACTCTAAAAAAGAAGGCTGAAACTCTAGCTTGACTCATATCCATGGCGTCACTTTCATAGACTGCACCTCAGAATGTGGTACTCTGCCTCCCACTGCTCCAATTCAGCTATAGTATAACCGATTATCTGAAAGCATTGGAACATCTGTGTTGTAGCTGCATGATAGTGCTGTCCCTACAGTAAAACTTACAGCAGTAATAACCAGCTACTTCTGAGGAAAAGGTAACAATGTCTTTATGACAAACTTCCATTACCTCCCAAGAAATGGAATTCATCATGAAAAAAATTACCTAAGCCTAATTTTGATGTACTTCTTTTGACAGTGATTTTAATTTAACCTAACTACCTATGTAGTTCAGGGGGTAAGAGTAAATTATTATTCATCAATGAAATATGACACAGAAAATGTAATTTATTTCAAGTTACCAACAGGTATAAGCAAGCCTTTAACACTGTGTTCAAGTCAACCATTCCAAATCTTTCATTGTTTCACCTTTGTAACTTGTTTCAATGCTGCCTCTTACTTCAATTGGTGCAAACTGAAGAAGTGGTTAGAATTAGAGATTTATACTTTTATGACTGCCATTTTTTCATAATTCTTGTTGGGTACTTATAAATGGGTATATATAATTCTTGAAATTATGCTAAAAAATGCATATGACTAAAAACTAGCCAAAACTTTGTATGTGCCAGCAGTGTCTTATACTTACCTCCTGTTCCATTTGTTGTAACTGATGTGCTACTAAGACTAGACTTATCCAGTTTGGAACTACCTGATGCATCACTACTTCCAACAAGATTATGAGGACTGGCTAGATCCTGCATTTCCATAGACCTGTTAAAAAAGAAGATGACAGTATTATGGACTATTATTACTATAGTATTACTATTATCTGCTTTTTCTTTAATAACTTTTTTTTATATGGAGAGTTTGCAAAGCAGTCAGATTAATAAATTAATACAGGTTCCTTTGACATCTTCTTTGCTTTTTACCAAATCTAGGAAAGTAGCTCATAATTTTATATGAATAGCAACAATGCCAGTATTTTTCTCTTTTCCTTTAGGTATTACGAAGTGACATAGGCTTATGAAACTGTTCAAAGAGCTTGTAAAAGATGTGCATGAGGTAGTGCATATATATGGATGAACAGATGGAGAGATGAATGGACAAATTCAGGTAATAGGTACTTCTTAGAAGAAAATAGAGAAATTTGGTGAAAAGTCAGTCATTGCAGAAAGTCAAAATAGGAACTTCTGCCTCCTGCTATCTGTATTCCAACCACCAGCAGTCACTGCATCCACACTAAATCACAGGTACAGGCCATACAAGCGAATGAAAAGAACTTTCATGTACATCTGGAAGATTCTTCACTCTTACAAATATGTATATTCTTATTAGATCACTTATCCTTGTTTTGTTCTGAGTAATTTCTAGGAAGCTTGCAAAATTTCAAGTGGATTAGATTGCAACGGATTCCAGGATCACAGTTACACTGGGGGCCTGTAGATGGCTTTAAAGCAGAGATAACAGATCTGCCTTCTGCAGACAAAGCAGACAAGGAACATTTCTTGTCTAACCAGTAATTGTAATCCAATTTGCAGTGTATGTTCACTTACTCCTTGCTTCATTTATAAATTAGACAGATTTTTTTCCCCCAAAGAAACATTTTTGCTATATATAAGCAAAATGGCCAGCCCATCTGCAACAGGAGAAGCATTTACCATATGTATACTGCAAAGGCCAACAGGAAGATTGTCTCACAGAGCTGTAAAAGCCAAATTACACTGTACAAGGCTGAGATGGCTAGGAAAGAGATGAACAGTTGGGATAGTTCAGTAAGAACAATGGCTCTTGTATATTCATATTGTGACCAGGACAATCAGTGGCAGATTGTTGAGGCAATACCCAGCATCTTCAGTATTTATTCCAAGTTTCACTTTGAAATTACCTATATTCTGTGCTCCTACACATCCCCCTCTGTGGGGAAAAAAAGCCAAACAAAACCCCACTACCTTTCCATCAAATATGAGTCTGCTATCTGAATCTACATTTCTTCCCTCCAGAGAATGAAATTATCTCCCATTTTGTGCTCCTAATTCTGCTGATCTCCTGGATGCTTCAGCCTTCCTCACATCGCGTTCATTTAACCCAAGATATAGATTCAGAGCCTTCATGTACTGAATATGCTCAAGAAAATGTAGGAAATACTACATCTCAACTGGGAAAATGAACAAAGGCCTTACCCAAAGGCACATGAAATAAAGAATCCCATTTACTCAAGTAAATGCCTATGTCAACCACGAGACGCACCAATATGCCACTGGCAGGATAGCCTTCCCAGCAGCAGTCTGGATGAGCAGGGAAAAACTGATCTTGTTGGAGGCCATGCATCAGTAGGTAAGAATTTTACAGCCATATTCAAGGAAATGCCAAGGCATAAACTGAGATCTGAACTGCATTGAACCCAATTTGTTCATCTAGTTGTATACACATTTCTACACATCTGTCAGCAGTGAATTATATTTATTGTCTACTGGAAATGTGATCAGTGTTAGATGAAATAAAATGAACTCAAGTTGTTTACAAGTCTGTCAATTTTTGTTTAGTAGTTTCGGTACAAGGATAGCAGCTAAAGGTTAAAAAAATTCCGTGAGTTTCCATCTTGTATGTATTTAAGGGAGCAGAAGAATGCTAAATGAAATAAACAATGCATGTTTCATTGCATATACAGTGTAATGCTCCCCACGTGTTCACTTAGCAGTTTTAAATGCCATGATTTCCTGTGGAAGTATGATCAGCCCACAGATATCTAATGGGCAGTTCCAGCTTAGAAAGTTCACATCTGATTTTTTTTTCTTGGTCAGCATGAAAAAATTATAATAATTTCTTTTCAGACAGGCATATATCATCACCACAGATGCAAATACTTCAGCAGTATTTGATAAGCAAAATTACTGGTTTATGCAGCTAGTGTATATAAGAAATATCCATCTTAAGCACTTTTTACACTCAAATGAATCAGGTTTTCTTAATCATATCAGACTTTCTTAATCAGAAGACTAAGTCCAGTGACTCTCATTTGCTTGGCAAAGAAAATAAACAATCAAACTTTGTAAAAGGAATAGTTTTTGTTCCAAGCCAGTATGAAACCTTCTGTGTAGAAAAGTAGTCTTATCATCCTAATTTGTTTTCTATAACAAATGGCATCCCAGCCCACAGACATGGCAAGTTAAATTAACTAAAACTATTTTAGAAGTAGTGCATTCACAGACATTTTCTCTGTATGAGTAAAACACATCTTGCACTTATTGGTAGTCTATTAAGAAAAAAAGAATATCCAAAGCAATAAAAAATTTCACAGAACCATGTGCATACTCTACTTATCCTAGGTGCTCCATCCCGTGTGAGCAAGTACAGGGATTACTTTAATATATCCCTATGTGATTTACTTATTGAAGTACACTACTTTCTGTGTAACACATGTCATTCAATTCACCTTTCTGGATGCATTTAGTTTACCTTTAGCCTAAAAAATTCTCAGGAAGATGTAACAGACTTACTAAAATCTTACCTTTCAGTGAATGGAGGATTCAGGAAAAATGCCTAGTAAAATGGATGAAATAATTCCAACATCTTGAATTCATTTTGTCAAACTAAATGTTTATCAGAGTACTGCTTTCACTGACTTAATCAGAAGCAGGTTCAGTATGTGCTTTCATGCACTAAAAAAAAGTTTAAAAGGGAGATCTCTGAAAGACCAATTAATATGTTTAAGTTTATGCAGCTATTTATTAAAGAATGTTTTTCAGTAAATGCAATGTATTTCAATTCAGACATAATAAAGTCTATTGATAAATCTGCTTAAAATACTACACTGTACAACATTATTTTACATATTTTGCTTCTCTGCCAGGCACATAACTGTTTGTGCTTTAGTCTTCCCCCTCCTGCATTGTGTCAGACCTCTTTTTAGAATAATCATGTAAAATGTTAAATTGTATAAAAAGATAAATTTTGGAAGGAAACACACTACTTGCTAAGAAGATGTTTTAATTATCTCTTGACTGTTTGAAGAAGGTTTGCATGATTGCCAGCTCCTGAGCAAAAATTCAAGACCTGGCAAGATGAATTTGTCTTTTATTCTGCTTTGGCTATGCTTAAAGTCTTTGAAAATTGGTATTTGCACATGCTTAGTGGATCATTTCAGAGGCTTACTGGAAAAGTCTATAAAACATCCCATTTCACAAAACAGTCTCCTAGTTCTCAGTGGGCTTTAACTCCAACCTGTGGACAACCGTACCACATTGAAGCAGGTTTGTATCAAATATATGGCTGTGTGGAAACCCTGGGCCTTCCCCATTAAAGCAATTTTTGTTCCCAGGCTTGAAGTTACATCTTTTCAAAGGTTAGCCTATGCTCAGATGCGGATTAAGGAACAGCATCTAAAAAGAAAAATTCCACCCTCTTCTGTCCCACTTTTACAAGGGTGGATGAACAGAATTTGTGCCACACCCCAGACCACCGAAGTGCACAGCCAAGCACGATGACCCAACCTTGCACAGGAAGGTTTAAGTATGGCTAAATACGACTGCCCCATTTAACAACTCCATCTCTGTATTTCTGTATAACTCTAACTTGTATTATTTCAACAGTAAAAAGCTCAAGCCTTGCCTCTACGGTTATGTTTTTAAAATTCCTCTTTTTTTCTTTTTCCCTTCATTACAATCACATATCCATTTGTGCACCACTTTTCTTCAGTAGAGTTAAAATCTATTTTCAGAAAACCTGTGTTATAACTCTGTTATCCATTTGCATTTCCAATTTAACTATTATGAACGTGGACTGTGAGCTGGGTCCTTCCACAGCTTGCAACTCTGTTGATTATTCACTAATTCTACAAGATTACATTTAGATAATTTTCTTCTTGAAAGAGATCATGTTATAAAATGAAAACTTTCTGCAACATAATCTGCTTTAATTACAGTTCAACCTTTTTTACCAACAAAACTAAAAGCATGAAATAATTTGTCAAAGATTTATAAAAGAATAAATATTCTATTGTGAAAACTTCAAATCCCAGCCAGAACATTTTAAAAATACTAATTCCTCTCTGTGAAGAATTTACTGCAAAATCCAAATTACAGGAATACTGAAAGAAGGACTGGTTAAAGGCTATTGAAATTGGAATTATTTCATTCAGTTTAGAAATTAATCATAAAAAAAATTTAAAATGATTTCGCAGGATTTTTCTTTTTAAAATTCCTTGGTAGGAAATTCACTGCACAACTTTCTTTAGAAGAATCTTACAAAACTTCATTGTGGAAAACATACATGCTTTTTATTAGGAGTATTAGTATTATTACTTTTGTTTGGTTGCTTTGGTTTTGTTTGTTCTGGGGTTTTTTGTTAGTTTCCCCCCCTGCTCTTCTTATACCTCTCCTGCCGTAACCCCAGTTCTTACATATCCCAAACTTTCTCACTTTCTGGAGCCTTGTCCAATTAGGATGACAGCTACCTTGGAGCTTCAGAAATTAAACAAATGGGGAATTTCCCTTTATTTAAAATTAACTTTTTGCACAATATGAAAGTTGGGTAACAGAGCTGTTCAAACTCGGCTAAAACTGTTTCCTACTGCTGTCAGCTCAGCTCTCAGACCAACTACACTGTTTTGAAGACAAGCAGAGTCTTTTTTTTTCCATTTCCCACATATATTTTTTTAGCCTGGTCTTTCAGCCACTTTCTGAACAGGACTAGCGAGCTTACCTCTCTTTCACATGCAGTCTGAACTAGCTCATACAAGCCTTTCATGCTGACAAAAAAATCAAAATGGATGC